CCTCCATTAAGTCTTCTCCAACCTTCTCAGGAAGAGCGAGAAGAGGCCTTTTCCTTCTCTTTGTTCCATAGCATGTATGTACTTCATATATACCTCAGTTATAGCATCTAGCATACTATGTTGTTATTGGTTTACATCTTGGTTTCCTCCACAAGACTCTGAGTTATTCAAAGGTAGGGTCCAGGTCTTCTTAATTTTAATAAAAGTCACTGGTCATTGTCTATTATGATATCAGCTTAATCTGGGTTTGTTAAGCGAATGAATAAATTAATTAATAAAATAACAAACTAACTTAAATGCAAAAGCCTTTAATTTTATATTATGAGACACTTGGATGACTCCTTTATTGCAGTAAAATGTACTGTTTTGTTACACTCAGTGCCGAGTAACTAGTAAATGCTGTTAGCTGCATTGCGTCAGCCCCTGACTCATGACAACTGAAGTACAATGGAACAAAATAGTGCCCAATCCTACGCCATCCCCATGATCAGTTGCAGATCAGACCATTGTGATTCAGAGTTTTGGTTGGCTGATTTTTGGAAGTAGATCACCAGGCCTTTCTTCCCAGTCTGTCTTAGTCTGGAAGCTCTGTGGAAACCTCTTCAGCATCATAACAACATGCAAACCACCACTGACAGAGGTGTGGTAGCTATGTGTGAGGTGCATTGGCTGGCAATCAAACCGAGTCTCCCATGGAAGATGAGAATTCTACCACTGAACCACCAATGCTCCTGTAACAAGTAAATAATGCTGCCTATACCAGGGGTTTCCATCTAGATTCTTACTTCTTAGAGTATATCCCAGATCAGCAACATTGGCAATACTTGGGAGTTTGTTAGAAATGCAAGCTCTCAGGCCCCACCCCGGACCCCCTGAATCAGAATCTGCATTTTAACAAGATCCCCAGGTGATTTCCTGTGCATATTAAAGTTTGAGAAGCATTGATCTAGACACAGCAGTGATTCTCAAACTTTTTGGTCTCAGGATAGAAGATACCAAAGAGTTCTGGTTTATAGGGATTATATCTATTGACATTTACTATATATGAAATGTAAACTGAGAAATCTTTGTAATATTCACTTACTAATGCATTTAAAATAACAATTTAAAAGCCTTTCCATGTTACCATAAATATGTTTTTATAAAAAATAAACACATTTTACAAATTAAAAATCTTTTTAATGTCTATCTTAATAGAAGGCAGCTGAATTCTCATATCGGCTTCTGCATTCAATCTGCAGTGATATGTCATGCAGCCTCTTAGCCTTATTTTGAGAATAGTTTTGACCTCCCTGAACAGAGAAGCACTAATCTAGATAGACTATAGTTTTGCATAAAACATGCTGACAAACCACAGGCAGGCGAACCTGATCCTTTCAGGCCTTCTTCATACATTATGCTGGTGCTGTGGCCAAATCAGCAAGACATCATTTCTCATGTGGAGACACAGCTGGGGCCCAAATAGCACTCTTAACACTTATCTGCAATCGATTGTCTAGATGCAGCTTTCTCAACCACTTGTCAAAGATTCAGAATGCTTATTTCATTTTTAAGCGGATTCAGTTTTATTAAAAAAACGTTTCCCCGACAACATATTTACTGTTGTCATTTTTTTGTTTGTTTTCTGTTTTTTAAATGGCAGAGCACTGAAGGTAAAGGGATATTTGTAATCTCAGATTCAGGGCTAGAAGAAATCTAGTTTAAATCTTCATTTTACAGATAAGGGAAATGAGACCCAAAAAGATCAAGTGCCTTGTTAAAAGTCATCCAGCTAGAAAATGAAAGAGCTAGGGACCTTTTCTCCCTACCTCCAGCACTCTCTCTGTAACGATGTTCATTGATGTCTTTTAGGGAAGGAATAGCATAACAAACCCTTTAGAAGCCAGATGAGGAAAGTCAATATTTGCACTCCGAGCATTTAGAGGTTCAATAAAATTTGGTGGCTTTGCCCTTGAGGGTAATTGGTCCCTATGGCTGCCATGGCGGAATTAGAGCCTGACAAGGAATCCAAAGCATCCATCAAGCCATAAGGGGACAGAATCAGGGATTAGCTCATTTTTGCAGCTTAACAGTATTTCCGCATGAAGAATGGCTTACATCTTACACTAGGCTTGTTTTCTTTTGTACAGATGGCTTTCGTCTGTCCAACAAGGACTCAGACAAATTTGACCCCAGTGTATGAAGAGCCCTGCCAGATTGCTTATGGCTTAGATTTGTGGTAGGCAGTTAAATTTGGCAAGGCTCATTGGTTTTCCCTGATGAAAGACTACCACCAATTTTGAGTTAGCTGTGGGTATATGTTAATTTCCTTTACTTGCACAGACATTAATTCACCCTTTCCTTCATTTTCCTTTTCTTTTCCCCAACAAATATTTCTGAAGGCTTACTCGGCACAAGGCACAATATTCAGCCCTGTGAGGGAAATAAGTTAACATGCTGGTGTCTGCACGTCGTACTTTGTTCTTCAGAGTTTCTCATTGATCTGTCAGGCAGTCTGAACAGGCCCCTAAACTCTGCTCTAGTAACTTAATTTTAATCAGGTGCCGAAGATTGTCCATATTTAATGGCTGATCAAATGCCCAAAGAGTATTCAACTAGGGTAGCTTGTTGCCCACGTGAGGACTTCTCCCTTAAAAAAAATTATTGTGGTGAGATATACAATACGAAACATTTGCCTTTTCAACTATTTTTTATGTGTACGATTCAATAACATTAATTACGTTCACCATACTGTGCAACCCACTATCCATTTCTAAGTTTTTTTAATCACCCTTAACAGAAACTAAGTACTCTTTAAGCAATACCCCTCCATTTTTTCCTCCAACCCACCTCTGGTAGGTATTAATAAACTTTGGTCTCTATGTGTTTGCCTATTCTGATTACTACACGTAGGTGGGGTCCTACCCTGTTTTTCCTTTTGTGCCTGACTTATCTCACACAGCATGATGTTCATCCATGTTTTAGCATGCATCAGAATTTCTCTTTATGGATGAATAATATTCCATTGTATGTATAAACCACATTTTATTTATCCATACTGTTGATGGACACTTGGGTTTTTTCCACCTCTTTGCTACTGTAAATAATGCTGCAAAGAACAATGGTGTACAAGTATCTGTTTGAGTACCTGCTTTCAGTTCCTTTGGGTATATACCTAGGAGTGGAATTGCTGAATCATATGGTAATTCTGGAGACCCTGGTGGCGTAGTGGTTAAGAGCTACAGTTTCTAACCAAAAGGTCGGCAGTTTGAATCCACCAGGCGCTCCTTGGAAACCCTATGGGGCAGTTCTACTCTGTCCTTTAGGGTTGCTATGAGTCAGAATCGACTCAACGGCAGTGGGTTATGGTAATTCTTTGTTTAACTTTTTGAGAAACTACTATACTGTTCTCCATAGCAACTGCACCATTTTATAATCCCACCAGCAATGGATGAGGGTGATTTCTCCCTTTTGACTCGTATGTTGAACTTCATTTAAAGCTCAAATTGTTACTAAAATAGTCAGACACCTTCTAACGCAGCCATTTTATGACTTTATTTTGGGAAAGGAAACTTTCTCCAACAACAATGTAGAAGCAATATAACATGGGCATTAACAGCATAGCCTGTGGAGACAGAATGTCTAAGTTTGAATCCCACTTTTGCCATCTACTAGCTGTGTGACACTGGGCAATTTACTTAACCACTCTGTGCCTCTGTCTCGTCATAGGTAAAATAGGGAAAGATAATAACCTACCTTAGGGTTGTTGTGAGAATTAAATTAGTTAATCCATGTAAAATATTTAGAATGTAGGGCCTCACTATTATCTCATTCTGAACCCCAAGACAGAATGTAAGGACAAACTAAAGAGCTCAGAGTCCAACCCACTACTGCCCCATCTTGCCTTCCCCAAGGTAGCTCCACAGAACACTCTAAAAAAAAAGTTGTTCTGTTGAAGCTCCAGTGCATAGATGTTACTAAGGAAATTATTCAAATAGGAAGGTGCTTTTTGGATGGGATTCTAACTCTAACAGTATACTTTTTCACTAAAAACTCCCTTTGATCTTAATACTGTCTGTGAATGTAAAGATGAAAATATCATAGTGCTGATGGCATTAACTTGTGTAATCCAGTCTACTCCAGTTGGATAAAAATGTTAACATTCTAGCTTATGGAGTACAAGTTAGAAATCAATTCATCAGCCTGCAAACAGCTACTGAGTGCCTACTCCAATCTAGTTGAAGGTAATATAGTGTTGAAAGACCTCGTGTTGGGGAGGGGTTGCTGAGGCTGACAACAGATGATGATAGTACAGTGTGGGTAGTGGAAGAGGGGAAAGGTCAGGGAGGGGAGCACCAGGGAGGACTTCCTGGAGGCTTTGAGGCCTGGTACAGATCTAGAATGATAAACAGGCCTTCTAGGCAGTAGATTCAGCCTGTTTTGTACCATTATTCTTATTCAACTCACAGTAAATGCAGAAATTATGCTAATAAACCAGCTTACTATTTCTTGTACGTCAATATCCAAAATACCCGCCGATTATCAGAATGCTTTTTATCTATTATCTATTCCATTTAGGCTTCAGTCTGTGACATTTGGTTCTTCCAAGACCATAAATCCTTATTGTTCCCATTGTCATGGGTAAGCACTTGATCTATGGAGATCACAACCAGTAATTTTTTTTTTTATTCCAAGTCAGTAAACTGATGATTCTGGAACATCCAGAGTTTGATCATTCTGATTCTCATTCTGAATTGAAATGAATAATCCCTTCTGCACACAGGCTCTAAAGAGAGTTCCCTGACTGTCAGTGAGCACACTGAAGTCCAGGATGAATCCATCTGCTCTTGTCCACACTCTGTAGCATTGACTGGGGCCAACATGGCTCCTCTGAGCTGACCAGTAGTGATGCCTCCATCTATTCTCCCAAACCTGATGTCCCCTTTGCTTGAATTTGCAGATACGTTGTCTGTAAAATTTATTTTGTGTGGTTTTCAATTTTCCTTTCTTTTGTCTCATAGAACTGCCAGCGAAACACGACAGGGGAGCACTGTGAAAAGTGTCTGGATGGTTACATCGGAGATTCCATCAGGGGAGCACCCCAATTCTGCCAGCCATGCCCCTGTCCCCTGCCCCACATTGCCAGGTAAGTCCTAGAGAAAGGTGGCTGATCTGGATTCTTTTACTGCTTGATATAATTTTTTTTTTGCCCTATTCAGGGTTCTAATGCATTTGTATAGTCAAAACTGAGGACCTCAAGTTGAAATGAGACTGCAAAAGATATAGAAAGGTCTCTAGTATAAATACACTTTTGGGAAGCTTAAGCATTTGCAGTATAGATGATGACTCTGCTCCCAGTATATTGGGGTGCATCATAAGATCAATGAAGTCACCTAAGTTTTGTAAGTGAGGCTAGTTTCATCTTTTTGGGGCTATCCCTTGACTTACGGAGACCACAACTGGTAATGCCAACAGATTCATTTTAATACAATATTTTCAGTAGTATTGTTTCTTCTGATTCTTACAGAGTAGACATTTCCCTGTATATGACAGCCAAATAGGCTTTTCGAGCAGAATTAGAACACAGATAAACACAGTACATGTTTTAGGCCAATCAGGTCATAGATGATTTCCAGGAAATCTAATTCTCACTCTTGGCTCTATTTTGACTTGAGTGAGAAGTTAAAGAGAATAGACCAACATCTTAACAGAAATAATGGAATTCATTCAGGCATGTAATATGTATAAACCTTGCAGTCAAGGCTAACAGGAAAGACATGACTGGCCATGTTATGAGCTTAAAAATGATAGATTTTGAGTTAAAATGGTGTAGTGAAAGACCAGAGTCCCTGGGTGGTGCTAACAGATAAAACACTCGGCTGCTAACCAAAATGTTAGAGGTTCGAGTCTACCCAGAGGCACATCAGAAGAAAGCCTTGGTGATCTACTTCTAAAAAATCAGCCCTTGAAAACCCTGTGGAGCACAGTTTTACTCTGACACACATCGGGTCTCTGTGGGACAGAATGGACTCGACAAACTTTTGTTGTTGTTGTTTGTTTGTTTTTAGTGGAAAGAGCAATGGACTTACATTTGTATCCCTGCTTTCTCACGTAGCAACTATGTGATCTCAGACCAGTTACTTTCTCTGTGTCTCATTTTCCATGGGATTTGGAGTCCGGGAGATCAGGTTCAGATCTTGGCTGCATTCCTTGATTCTTTTACCTGCTCTGAATCTCAGCTTTGTCCTTAGTAGAATCGAAATTGGCATGAGGCTTTACCTTCTAGGGTTGTGAGGAGGAGACTAGGGTAATACGTGTGGAACGTCTAGGTTAATGCCTTGCAAATGGTAAGGTGTTTGGTAGATGTTGGCTTTACTGAACACAACCATTATATTTTTTATAGCACATATTTTGCTTACTCTATGTCAGGCACTGTTCTAAGTGCTTGGATGTAATATTTATATAGTTAGTAGCTGTTGTAAAGATTAAATTAAATAATGCATATAAAATTACCAAAAAACTCTTTAATACCACTCTCTCTCTCACACACACACACATTCATAAAGAGAAAAGAGGGAGAGAAGATGACAACCAGATTTCTCCCGATCCTTTTTCTTAATTGAAAACCAATAGCAAATAACATTTCACCTAATAGCTTGTGATTTGTTCAAATTCTCTAATGAGCCTGAGAGTGAAGAAGACAGAAGTTTAAATCCCCATTTTTCTTTAGAAGTCTAAACTGCCTCAGCACTTGCTTTGTGATTTTTCATGTCTGATAGTAGTAATAATGTGTGCAAAATGGATGGTACACTGAGAGTAGAAAACTCAAACATTGAATATTCTATTATTTTCACTCAAGTGTGTCCTGATTTATGAGCCCCATTTGCCTCATGTAGGTGTATTCTTTAATTGTTCATTACTATTCTGCTCCCAATCATTAGTCTTAAGCAAGTCTGATGAGATGTTTAGCATGCCTCTCATTTGCCAAGGGATAGTTATTTTATTAAATATATTTATATTTTATTAAACATATATTAGAAAGTGTCAGACTATTTTAGTAACAATTGGAAGTACCCAACTTCCTAACAATAACAGGTTTCACTCGTTCTCCCATATGAATGAAGATGTTGTGTAGCATCATCTACTCAGAAAAGGTTTACAAGTTTTGCGCTACAGTTTCTTTAGATAGTAACAGATGAATTAGAAAGGCAGTCCAGACGTTTCCTCCTAATTATATTGCCCCACTATTGCTCTTTTTGCCTCATTCATATGACAAGACTTTCTTATCTAGATTATTTGACATTAATGTCTTGAGATATGAGACTTTTGAAACCTCATTTGCTGTGGACTGAGAAGTCTTGTCTACCTTCAAGCAACAAATATTTGTTCAACACTTCTTATGTGCCAGTCATATGCTAGTCACTGGTGACACAGCAGTAAATAAACAGTCAAAAAGTCATGCCTTCCTTAAAATAGTAATGGATTCTGAAGCTCCCAGAGCTATCTAACTTTTGAGCTAGATTATCCAGTATTTCAGTTGAGCAAGAAGCTCTTCTGAAGGCTATTAGCCCTTTCAAGTAAATAAAGCAGAAACTTAACCAACTGGGTAATGAGCCTCCTGTCCTGAAAGAGAAACCAGTTTTCACAGAAATCAAGGGCCACCATCTCTAACTGTGTTCTTTCCCTATGTGTGTGAGTGGATCCCGGATTCAAAGGAGTGGTTGAGGGACTTAGGGAATGGGCTCTGCAGTTAAGTCCATATTCACAAATATGAAAACAGAAGTCTCTGTAGTGCAGACTGGATCTGCTGTAAGTTATACCAAAAATCAGTAAGTTGCCACTTATGATGTAAACAACATTATGTGAGAGTAGGGAGGGGTTAGTTAGTGAGGGTGTGAAATAGCTACTGTTTTCTCTGTAGTGACAATAGCTCTACTTCCCTTGGAGGAAAAAAACTGGCTACAAAAAAGCGACTGGTCTGTGGTCATAGATCAGGACGAATTTGCCTAGATACTACAAAGTTTGCTAGCCTTTCATCTGGCGTTATTGACTTAATTAACTAATCTCGAATATTAAGCGAATATCTAATCAAAAATCAGGTAGCCTATTGCCTCTTTCTGTTGTTGTTGTTAGATGACTTTTTCTACTTTAAAAAAATGCATATTTTTATTTTCTATAGAAATAAAAGTGCCTAGAACTTTTATTTAGAACCCAGACAGGCACCTGTAATGGAATCTGAAATACACTTTGAAAGCTCCACTAGTTGAGTCTACAGACCCAGGGTCTGAATTTCTGGATTTCCACTTAAAATGACCATATCAGAAAACAAAGAAAATGATGTTTTAGAGAGTTAAACTAGCAAACAAAGTGCTGAGTCTATTTCTCCTTAAGTTCCCTAAGGCTCCCGTCCACTTGGAGGGGGCGCCACGGTGGTTAGAGTGGGCTGAGCGAAGTGTGGTGTTTTTATTTTCCTAGCCAGAAACAGAAAAAGATAAGAAAAACATAAACAATCAATGTTGATGAAAAACGAAAGAGAACACTCAATGGCTAGTATTGCTTCTGAGACTCCCGCCACTGCTACCAGTGGTCACACGCATGTTCCCAGGGACCATTCGCACAGAGTTTGTTTAGTTTGGGGTTGGCCAGACATCCTTCATGTCTACCAGGAGCTATGGTAATCTCTCCAATTAAGAAAAATGTCGTCTGTTTGAAACAGCAGGACATCAGGTAAAGGCAGATGACTCCAGACGCCAGCAGATGTTTCAGCCCTTCAAGCCGCGGGTGGGCTGCTGGGTGGAACGCCTTCAAAGAAAAGATGCAAGGGGATCTGCTCAGGTTCTGGACACTAAAACTGACAGTGTTTCTTTAAGTAGGCTAAAGAATAAGCAAAATAAAGGGTAAAAGGCCAAAGAAATGTAATTTTGTTGGAATGCTTTTCCCAAGCTCTTATAGAGAAAATAAATTGTGGGTATTGTCTTTCACTGAGAAGTACATACTGTTTTCTGACTGATTTTATAAATGTCTTCAAACTAAGCAAACACATCCATTTGCTTTCCTCCAAAGACCATTAGGGTAGAATTGCTGATACATGCAGGAACATGAGAGCAGCAGGTCACACTCCATTGACTGTACAGTACCTAAGCCAAAACTAATTTAGAAGTCTTTAAAAATTTTCACATCCCCTTTTACGTAAGACGGATTCATGCATTGATGCAGAATTTTCCAAACATGTGGGGAACAATATTCCATCTCCCCTACTTTAAAAATTAGGATAGTTATTTTTTCTGTTGCACCATTATTTTTATTACTTTTTTTTTGTCCCATGTCCTGAATTTTATTATCTCAGAAAAAAAAAAAAAGAATAATCAAGAGCAGGGATCCAGTGGACTAAAATCCTTTGTCTGTGGAGTTTCTGCATCCTTTATTCCCACTCTTTAAAATATCCATGAGAGAAACGAAGGGTCTACGGAGATTACAGAATATAGTTTAGAAATGGTTCCTGACCTTCAAGAGAGGAAGACATCTAGTGCAGAAAAAAAAAAAAGGTAGGGGTGGACATGCAGTCAACTTTGAAATGTATATTCAGAGAGTGGTGGGATAAGAGAAAATTCCAGTATTAATCTAAAATTCCAGGTAAACTTTGATTATTTCTGTTTGATTATTTATGATTTATTTATTACTTTATTTCTGGTTTTGAAATATGTGTTTTAAACTCGCATTTAAAAAACATATACCCGAAGTTCTGGAAATTCCCACTGATACAAGCAAAAATAATGAAGCCCTTTATGGACAATGAAGTAAGGTAGATCTGAGAAATTGTCCCACCAATAGAGTGGCACTTTCTAGCCGGGCCTACTTGTCTATAGTTACCTGAAAGGAAGAGGACTTAATTTAAGCAAATCATATGATCACACCATTAGAACTTGAGGGGGAGCATGGTAGAGATGACCTATTAAAAGTTAAGACAAAAGCTTGGATCTAATCAAAAGTTTAGACAGTGTCTACGATAAAGTATGGATTTGACTCCTAATATTCTGTTACAATTCTAGTTTTGCAGAATCCTGCTATTGGAAAAATGGAGCTGTTCGATGTATTTGTCAAGAAAACTATGCTGGACCCAACTGTGAAAGGTAGGCTAATAATATTCTCTCCTTTCTGTGTTGGACAAAGGAAGCTTTCTGTTTCTTAGACTCATCAGTTCTGCTACACTCCCATTCAATAGGTCTGGAAGTGGGTGCTTAAGCTGAGAAGTTGAGGGACCACATTTCAGAACCCCTTGGGGAACTTTCACCAAATCCCATGCCCCAGATATAACTATAATAATATGCACCCTAGAATCCAAGCCAGAACCATATCTTATGATAAAGAAACAGGGAAAGAGGAAACTGAGTATGTGTGTTTTGATAAGACTCTATAGACAGACCTGATAGCTCTCTCTCCACCACGGAGAACCAGTCCTACAATTAATATTTACACAAATAAATAAATAAAAGAGTGACTCTCTCTCAGTAAATGAAAAGTGAATCTTCAATCAGGCAATACATTGAAAAAAAGCACTAACCTATTATTTAACACGAAGTTCCTGGATCGTGCAGGTAACACACTCAGCTGCTATCTGAAAGGTTAGAGGTTCCAGTGTACCCATAGGCACCTTGGAAGAAAAGCGTGGCAATCTACTTTTGAAAAAATCAGCCATTGAAAACTCTATGGAATACAGTTCTACTCCGACACACATGGGGTCGCCATAAGTCAGAGTCAACTCAATGGTAGATTTTTTTAAAAAATTATTTAACATTCTTTACATTATCTAAGAAAACCCGTTGTCATTGAGTCGATTCCGACTCATAGCGACCCTATACAGAGGACAGAGTAGAACTGCCCCCATAGGATTTCCAAGGCTATAATCTTTATGCAAGCAGACTGCTACATCTTTCTCCTGAGAAGTGGCTGGTGAGTTTGAACCACTGACCTGTGAGTTAGCTGCTGAGCACTTAACCACTACTCCCCTGAGAAGTAACCAAATTCCGTGGAAATTTGTGTTTTCTGAATCCCTGTTTGGTATTTACACATAACAGTCCTTTTAAATTCTTGTGGGTGTGGCCCCTAAGAATATGAATCTTCCCACTGAATTATTTCTTGCTAAGACAGTTCCCATTCTCTCCACCTTGTCAGCTGCTCACAGTTTTCTAAGTTAAAGCAACTTTTGCTAAGAGTCTCACAGAGAGGCCTTCTTGTTTTTAACAGAAATGCCATTAACTCTGGGCTCGCCATTGTGTTTAGGAAGCTAAAATGTGTGATGCCATAGAGACAGGGAGGGAAGGGCCAGGAGGCACTCATCAAGGATCCAGTGGAACATCTGCAGTGTGCTTGCCTCAGAAACAACACGCTCACGGCTGCACCTCAAGACGGCCCCCAAACTCTGGCTGGGCTTAAAATTTAAGCCCTAAACGAAGCAATTTTGCTTCTAAAGAAAATATCCTCCAGCTCTCAAAGAGTAGTTCTGCAACTCTTTAAACGGCCTCAGTGTCTGTGGTATAGAGAAAAACTCCACACTTGGAGAGATAGATTGATAGTTGCCCTGGAGTCAACTCTGACTCATGGCAACCTTATGTACAGCAGAACAAAACATTGCTCAGTTCCTGCATTACCCTCACAATTGCCGGCATGTCCAAGTCTATTGTTGCAGCTTCTGAGGGTATCCTTCACACTTGCTTGCCCCTTACTTCACCAAACATGGTGTCCTCCTCCAGCATCCCTTCTGCTGATATGTCCAAAGCAAGCAAGTTGGACAACGTTCTGTTTTGTTCCATAAGGGTTTCATTGACTAATTTTTGGACGTAGATCTCCAGGCCTTTCTTCCTAGTCTTTTTTAGTCAGAAGCTCCGCTGAAACCACTATGGGCGAACTCGCTGGTATTTGAAATACTGGTGGCATAGCTTCCTGCATCACAGGAACACACTGACAGTTGGAGGGCCTTGTCATTATGATTGTTACATGTATAAAAATATGGCTATTTCTTTTACTAAAAGGGTTTTTACTAAAGGGTTGTAGATTTTTTTCTTTTTTTTTTCTTTTTTCTGTAAGGGCAGAGGGAAAGTGAGAACTGAGGGCCCACATGAATTGCATCCACTAGCAGGACTGGAGAAGCCCTGGTGGCACAATGGTTAAATGCTCCACTGCTAACGGAAAGGTCAGAGCTTCAAACCCACCAGCTGTTCCTCGGGAGCAAGATGTGGCAGTCTGCTTCCGTTTTACAGGGTCGCTATGAGTCAGAATAGACTCGGCAGCAATGGGGTTTAAAGGAGGGACTGATAAGATTGATTAACTGATTACCTTCAGGTGACTAATGTTTGGGACACAATCATTCCGTATTTCCTTATTCGAGGACTAAGGAACAGGAGGCACCTGATTTGCTTGCTCAGGGGGTGTCTGAGATCGTTAATCAGTCATGGATCGAGCTTTTTCTCCTTAACGTCTGAGGTTAAACTCATTTTAGTCTGATAATGATTGAGCAGTGTTATCAGCTAATGGGTGTTGATGACTCCTGTGAGGGGAGTTAATGGCCTTAAGTTGGGTCCTGCTAAGCAAATATAGAGCTGCCCAGAAGTGAAGTCATCTCAGCCCCCATGGGCTCAGTCCTTCAGAATAACACAGGGGTGCAGATAAGTGTTCTGTCAGCAACAGTTGTAGGAGGTGGGTGGTGGGTAGAGCTTACATAGGGACAGCATGCCCAGCTTTAGACATGAGATTGTACATGGTAAATCCCTGGCACACTATGGAGGCTCACGGGACCTGCAATTGCCCAGTTAAGTAGAGTCAGAGCTGGTGTTTATCCTGGAGCTGGGAATGGTAGGATTGAGGTAAGAGCACCAATTCTTAGGGAGGTGGAAGTGGAGTAGTTAAAGATTTACAGTCAGTCTGGCTGGGTTTGTATCCCAGATCCAGCACAATTTATTTGACCTTTCTGGCTCCCAATTTCCACATCTACAGAATGGAGAAAATAAAAACATCCACCTCATAGGACTGTGGTGAGTTAACACTGTAAAGCTTATAGTACGGAGCCTGGCACTTAATAATGTTCAATTAAAATTAACTGATGGTCACAAGTCATTGTGGTCATTGTTCAATTTCTGCCACTGGCAGAATGTGTGCTTTGGACAAGTTAGTTCGTTTCCCGAAATTCACTTGCCTTAACTTGAAATTATGACTTGAAACTAAATAGTGTCATTTATTGATTGTCTCCTATGTCCTAGGTGCTTTACATTTGTCATCTCTCAGCCTCAAAACGATTCCAAGAACAGGTCATATTTTGTCATATTGCACGTGAAGGAACTGAGGCCAAGGGAGGCAATGGTACCTGTCTGAAGTCACATCACTACTAGGTGGAAAAACCAGAATTAAAGTGTGGGTTTTTTCCCTCTCCGCATACTGATTTTCCCAAATGTCCTCTAAAAAAAACTTTCTATTTTAAACTTTGACAATGAATTAGATGAGCCTCTGAAATACAGGGTAAAATATTAATCTTCTGCTAGATTCCCTTAGACAGGAGGCTGCATCTACAGAGTGCTGGAAGTAAGCTTTCCTTCTAAGGCCTCTCATCTGTATGGGGGAAGAGTCACTTCAAGCAACTTTCTCTCCTCCTTCTCTTTCTCTTTTGTCTAACCTACCTCACACTCTTCCCCCTTCAAAGGGAATGCATTGAGGTCCTTTACATCAAAAATTAACCTTGTAATCCAGGGAACTCTTCTTCAAAATGGAAATTACCATATTGGGTCTTCACCATAAACAAAAATAAGCAGATTGGTGGAGGGGCTCAGGACACAAATACATCTAAGACACAGCCCTTTGTTGTCAAGGAACTTGCCAGGCTAGGGGAGGAGACAAACAAGGCAAATAAATAAATGCTAAATAGAAGGACAGAGACCCAGGGTGTTGCAAACGTTTAACATGCTCAGCTGCTAACTAAAAAGTTGGAGGTTCAAGTCTAGCCAGAGGTGCCTCAGAAGAAAGGCCTAGTGATATACTTCCCAAAAAATCAGTCATTGAATACCCTCTGGAGCACAAATCTACTCTGGCACACATGAGGTCACCATGAGTTGGAATCAATCCCATGGCAACTAGGTTTTTTTTGTTTCGTTTTGTTTTAAACAGAAAGACAAGCAAAGGCTGTTCAGGAATATAGTGGAAGGAGTGGTTTCTTTCCCATGGACGTGCTGGATCACCCAAGGGGAGATGGCCTCAGTTGCTTTGGGTTTGTGCTTAACCCTGCGAATCCACTGAGTACGGGGTTCTTTTGAGTTTAATAGCCAAGTTGTTAAGGTGTCTGAGTTAAGCTTCATCTAATCTGTTTTGAATGTATTTATGAACCTGGATCTCACCACGGAAACTTTTCAAAATAGGAACTTGATTTGTGTGGATATCTATTTCAAACAAAAATAAAAATGATACAAGCCAAGAACACTCTAGGTGTTTCTGTACTTAGAGATCATTTAATCAAGCAGTGGTTTTGAAGTTTGACTGTAAGTATCTTCTGGAAACCTTTGCATTTCAGAGCTCTCCACACCACCCCTCCATGCCACACTGAAAAAGAACCTCTAAGGGTGAGGCCTGGGAATTCATATTTTGATCCCCATTGGGCCCTCTCTCTGCCTCGTGACCTGAACCTCCAGCATTCCATACCACACCCGTGTAATATAAAACAGTATTTCTTACACTGCAACCTAAGAAACCCTCAGGGGTCCTCAGAAATATTCATGGAGGTTCATGGGTTCTTAATGAAGCTTTTCTTAATTTTGTGTTTGATTTCAATGATAATCTTGGAAAAATATTAATTTAAACCTGTCTGGACCTACTGTAGTACCAGTTTGTAACAGGGAAATCTGCCTCAGAGTAAAGGAAAAAATAACAGGACCAACTATGTGTCAATGACACATTACGGACAATTGAAGGCCAAATGACATGCCATTGAGGCGAGCTGTAAAAATAATGATTTCACAGAGAAAATCGGTGAGAGAAATGACTCATCAAATGGTGCACCAAAGGATTTGCAGACTGAACTCAGAATAGTATTTCAAAGTAGGTTCCCATTGTAATTGAGATTCTGACTTATAAAATAGAAGATCAGGAGACAACCTATAGAAACCAAATGTTGTGGAATTAAATAGAGAAAGAAAAGTAACTGTGAATTTGGGAAGGTAACTGTGAATACAGTCTCTGTGATTTTGGGGAACTCCCTTCAACCCTCTGGATCTCAGGATTTCCAGCTACACATTGAAATGGCAGGTCTGAGTACCACACTGGTGGGCCGAAGAATTCTCTGGTTAACTGCAGCAAAGGAAAAAATTCAGTCCAACCATGTGTCCCATAGAGGAATAATTTATGCTGGCTTGGAGACCAGAGGGCCTGTACATCTGAGGTGTAAAAATATGGGAACATGTGAATGACAAAACTCGTTGAACATTTCCTCCTAGGTTGTCTTTTTGTGGGTTATGTACCATTTATATTCATTCTAATCTTTTTCATAGATCTCAATTTCTAGAGACCACAATATTATGTATAACTGTGTTTGATTCACTTCCTGTTCTTTCAGAGCATGGGCTGTGTGTTTTTCCTTTTCCTATCTCCCTCCATCCTTTACTTAAAATGTACCTGAATTGTCCTTCTGTTGAATGAATTCACTCGTTCATTTATAGCAGCATCATTGTGGTCCAGGGTGGAGAGAAGGAAAGAGCATCAGGGTCAGAAGGTCTATGTGCTGTGACTTCCTAGCTATGTGACCTTGGAAACCAAAGTAACCTCTCAGCCTCAGAAAGCCAGGCTCACATGGTCTACCTACCTACCAGGTGGCTGTGGTAACTAAATAAGCTCACACAGATGAAAGTGTATGAAGCTATGAGGTATGATGCAAATAAAGAATATAAAGATTGAACATACACCGTCATCACAACTATGTCCAAAGAAAATGAGACATAGGAACAAAAACTGGGAGAACATACATAAAATATTTAACAGTGATTGTGTTAGGGTCCTGGGGTTATGGCTGTGATTTCTTTAGTGTCTCTATTTTTCAAAGGTTCTGAATCATGATTCTCTTCCTTTAAATGGAGACCTTTAAAAAAAATGTAGCAGCTTATTATTACTGGCAGGTCTTGTTGGTTTCCTTAGAAAACCCTCCCTTCCTTTCCACTGCCAAGGCTAATGCCCCAGCCCAAGCCCTCTGCACCCCACCCGGGACTCAGTGTTCCAGCCTACAGTCCATGCTGCTCTCTGACACCACAGCTGGCTTCCTTCACCACCATTTCATCATGCTCAAAAACTTTTACTGGCTCTCTTGTTCTCCCTCACATGAGAACCAACTCCTCTGCCTGACCTTCATCCCATTGCTGTGTGACCACATGCTCTTCTAAGCCACGCCTGGAGCACCTTCGGCTCCAGTTAGCCAGTCTTCTACACTAGTTCAGGGTCCACAGCAGAGGACAGTCCTCAGCCAGGCAGCAAATATGTGTAGCTTGGCCTGTACGGCATTCTTACAAAGCTTAAGCCAATTTTAAAAATTGAGATTTCACATAAAAATCCAGTTTCTACGTTTTTCATTAAAAATAGGAAATTTAGCAACACAGGTCCTTTATTCCCTCAAGGCTCAATCTGGCAAGGATGAATTTAGACAGGGCCTCAAGTCCCATGCACCAGGGCCTCTGCTGACCCACAGGGTGCTTTGGTAAAAAGCTAAGAAAGGCATCTCTTCCTCCTGGCAGAGGCAGACATACCCAGAGTGCACAGCTTGGCTAGGTGAGCAAAGGTTGCATGGAAATCAATCTCTACTTTCCAACTTGGCCAGTTCCCCTGTTTAGGGCCTAGCTAACATAATCAGAGGTAGTAGCTCACCCCACAAGTGCAGTTAGCTACCTGGCCTCTGTAGGCTCATGTATCTAAAACGTCTAGAATAATAGCAATCTGGGCTTCAACACTATTTACCTGTGGTACTCTCAGCTCTGCCCTCTGCTTTGTCTCTAGGCTGGCTTCACTCACTAACAAGATGGCTGCCAGAAGCTGAGAGTGCTACATGCCTCTTCCTTCGTGTGCAGATGCAGAGAATGCCTTCTCACACCCTCAAACAAGAGCCCTGAGCTGCACTTCAGTTTTATCTTTCCTGATTCCATCCCTTTTGGCCAGAAGAATGCCAGGCATTGATTGGCTCAGACTTGGGTTATTTAAACAATTCACTGTGGCAAGGTGGGCAGTAATAGAGACCAGTGTTTCTCAATACAGGTGTTATTAACATTTGGGCCAGGACAATTCTTAACTGTGCCCTACTGTGCTTCTCTTTCAGTACATCTAACATATTGGCCCCATCTATCATATGCCAGCCATGCACACCAGTCATTGGGATGACCACAAATGCTCCTTACACTAGTTAAATCCAAACACTCATGCATCTGGAGGCCTGGCCAGATTGAATGGCCTCAAATACAATGGAAGAACAGTTCCTTAAAAAACAAAGCCTACTGCATTAGGAAGATGAAGGAGTGGGCATGGATTTGGGGAGAGCAATCCACAAATATCCACTACACCTTCCTTCTAGGTAGCGAAGAAGATAAAAATGAAGAATAACTGTGGATACTAAAATTTTAACATGTGATTCCCCTTCAGATGTGCCCCTGGTTACTTTGGAAACCCGTTACTGATTGGAAGTACCTGTAAGAAATGTGACTGCAGTGGAAATTCAGATCCCAATCTGATCTTTGAAGATTGCGATGAAGTCACCGGCCAGTGTAGGAATTGCTTACGCAACACCACTGGATTCAACTGTGAACGCTGCGCTCCTGGCTACTATGGGGACGCCAGGATAGCCAAGAACTGTGCAGGTACAGTACTGTAAGTCCTAATCCCACTGCCTGGCCAGCATGTACGTGATTACTCAGGTTGTCCGTCAATACTGAATTTAGATGAAGAATTTACTTTGGGGAAATATTGCTAGTGCTACCTTGTCACTTTTCCAGAACAGTGTATATTCTCAGGAGTGCGCATTCCAAATTCATGAGGGATAAATATTTTTATGAAGGCTACTAGAATAACTTAGCTCATGGTAGGATAGACCATCAGACACTAACACAATGGACTTTTTGCTTTTTCTTTTTTTGTTTCCATTTTTTTTTTAGGATTCGGCTTTCGTTGGTTTCCTTTTCTTGGCCAGAGGACTGAATGAAATCAGTCTAAATGTTTTCTTATTTTGCAGCCTAAGTCCTTTCTCTCAGTTATGCTTGATGAAGTCGACATTTTGGTGAAATGGATTAGCAAATCAAGGATACAGTTTAATCAGCCCCCCTCCCCTTCCTCAAATTGTCAGAGTAAATATTTCAGGAATAGTATAGGAAATCTTCCATTTGTGCCTCAACTAAAATGCACACATTTTATTCATGATTTATGCAATCTGTTTACCGTATAGGGTGAAGCTCCTTAGAAGTAAAGTTAAATTGCTTTCCTCTAGGAGTACAGGAAGGCTGAGATTATTTCTCACTCTTATGTAACTTTGAGGGGAAAAAGGGAAAGGAAGAGATATCTTGCTCTTGTGAGAAATCATTTCACTAAAACAGATTCCCACCTGAAAAGATATTAAATCAGGAGTTTAAACTTGAGAAAGAAACAAGTATGACCCACCAAAGTCACAATAAAAGTAAACACGCCTCTAAGAAAGCAGTGTGCACAGAGGTGTAACACCAAGAATGGCAGAGGGAAGAGAGGACTCTGCATCCAGTCAAACTGATGGGACAGAAAGCGATCATCCTTAAACATTGATGCCCTGCCTCTCAAAGCATTTGCTAGACATATATTTAAACTACAAGGATGCAAATCACTTTTAGAAGACAAGCTAGTGTTAGAAGCCAGAAAGCATGATCTTGCTGAACTGTCTAGTAAATTTGCATTTTGTGGAACATTAAACATCTGAAATGTAATAAATGTATGTTCCCCTTGAAGCTAATTCTTTATGATTGTTCTAGAAAAACAAGAAGTGAGAAAAAACTCACAATTCTAGTCCAGTTTATTGTTAGTTTGTTGTTGTTGTTAGCTACCATTGAGTCATCCTCCAACTCATGACGACAGCATGCACAACAGGATCGGACTGTTGTGATCCGTAGGGTTTTCACTGGCTGATTTTTGGAAGTAGACTGCCAGGCCTTTCTTCCTAGTCTATCATAGTCTGGAAGCTCTGCTGAAATCTGTTCAGCATCATAGCAACACAAAACCTTCCACTGACAGGTGGTGGCTGCTCATGAGGTGCACTGGCCAGGAATCTAACCCAGGTCACCCACAAGGAAGGTGAACCACTGAATCACACCCTCAAGAGATAGCTTAGGAATTCCTTTTTAAATATTACAGATTAATTTCTACTCAGTAACTCAGTGGAAAATGAACAGTCTGATGACACTGGGGTTTTCTTTTTGTTTTTTCCAAAAGGCATTATTGAAAATAATCAGTAGATTAATAATAGGCTCTTTGGTCTTCTAAATTCATGTAAACATGTTCATATTTCTTTCCACAACATTATTTCTGGCTATCCCACAGATAACTATACTCTCCCAATGAAAATGTAGAGTTTTGGAGTCTGTCTTGCCAAGAGTTGCACACTGTGGGAGCCAAGAATCGCTCTTGCGCCTCCTCACTCACTCCTTGCTGGGCTGCTCCTCCCTCACACTTGGCAGTGATCAATGCTGAAGTTGGACTAAATCAGAGAATTAGTCTGTGATGAAAGGATGGCTTTCCGTTTCAAGTTGAATGGTGCACTCCATGGTGCTCATTTAGTACCTTTGAAACTTACCAGGATCTTTTTGGACTAAACCAGTTGCACGGTCAAGTCAGAATCCCAGAGTTTGGAGAGGAATCCAAGAGCATTTAGGTTCACTTTCTCCTTAGGGTCACCTTTGCAAGTCTCATTGGACTGGGGCTTAATTGTGTGAGGACATATCTCTACATCATAGATTCCACCAGGTTTTAAGGAAGACTATAATTAATCCCCACTGAAGAATTATACACTGATAACCAGTATTTCTAGAAATCATGAAAACATTGCTGTATTTCAAGCATTAAGAAATGAGTCCCTAATCTCTTGTTTTTGTTTCCCACAGTGTGCAGTTGTGGGGGAGGCCCTTGTGACAGCGTAACCGGAGAATGCTTGGAAGAAAATTTTGAACCCCCTACAGGCATGGACTGCCCAACCATAAGTAAAAATAACAGTACTTGATTGACTAACCCCATTTTCTCTAATATGCTGCAGGTGTGGGATTACGGAGAGCTATGCAATATGGCTCTCTCTAAAGGCTGAGTCCTGTTTGTGCTTTAACTCTGTCTGTGCTTCAAGTAAATAGACCCTGAACAAAAGATACTTAGTGCTTTGCTTGATTCCAGCTGGTCTACTTTCAAATAGCTCTGTTTTAGAAGTTATTTTAAATTCAGTATCTTAATTGGTGGGTAAAGGCAAAGTTAGAAACATGATTCCCAAAGACAGAGCTCATTTTAGCTTCTTTTTCTGTATTATCTAGTAAGTCCTGGATAATATGTTGTATAGACAATACTCTACAACATTTGAGGAAACTGAGATAACAAGAGATCTAAGTGGCTTTTCCCCAATCACTACAAATCTGAAGTGGAACCTGAAATGAAATATTCAGGCCTTCTGAGTTGGAGCTGCTGTCTTTTCTTTCCCGGGTTTCCCTGCCACTCCTGATAATCAAATTACAAGCCATTATATCAGAAACAAAATTTTGGTTTACAGACTATTTTAATATTAAGAACCCCCTCCCCCAGACAAAAATATCTTGGCCTCTCGGTCCCACTGGGCACAAGAGATTAATATTACCAGTAAAGGCAAGAAGCCCCTCAAGTTTTAGAAGATGACACAGGATAGGAGCACAAACAGGACACAATTTACACACTGATGGAATAGGTGGTCACCTAGGCAAAGTCATTTCAAGGGCATCAAGATGCCTGACTGGCCCTAAGCATTTCGCCCACCAGCCTGATGTGCTGACTGACCGAGGAGTCATTGGTTTCAGAGAGCATATAAGACCATCTTAAACTTCAAATAACAAATTAACATATTAACAACGATTAACCCTTTGGTCTGCATTTATCGGTTCTCTAGAGGAGAGTAAAGTCTGAGGGAAAAAGACAGGGAACAGGCAAGTTTTAAAGGGTGGTCAAGACAGGTTCCAAAACAAGGTTCTTTTCGGTGTGTCACCGGAGGGCACTATGTCCTTGGGTGGTGATGACAGTGGCCAGAGGAATTCATATGTGAAAGGGGGGCAGCACAAAATAGCTGTGACCTGCCTCACCAGGTGCCCAGGTTCAACCTGGTCTTTGGCACCATCTTCATGTGTCAGGGAGAGATATTCACACTCAGTGATGCCCCAAAGAACTGCTTCTGTTGAGATGTCTATCCAGACATGAAGTCGGATCATGAGGAAGAACTGAGCCATCTCTGGGTTGAGATAAAGGCACAGTACTAGCACCTGAATACTGAGTGAGAAAAGTTAATAGGAAAAGGAGAAGTGCCTAGCATGTAACTGTCTTTACCAGTTGGTGCCAAGCAAGAGACCAGAACCTGACATGAATAGAAGCATCCTAAAGTGCTTTCCCACCACTAAAGAAAAATGGATAGTTGGTTGCATGACATAGTGAATGTAACTAATGTGACTGCATTGTACACTCTGAAGTGGTTGAAATGGCAGTTTTTTGTTATGTATGTTTTACCACAATACATTTTCTTAAAAAGAGAAAAAAAAAGTGGATAGGGCTTCTCCTTACCCACTGTCTCAGATGGTTTGCCCTTTTGGGCTTCCTTTCTTATTCAATTCAATGCTTAATTTTCATGTGAACTTACTTTCTCTGTTTTACGTGTTGTTTGTCTTCTGTTATGTTTTAAGCGGAGACAGCACTCAATGTACAGTTTGGCTCATCGTAGGCTCTACTCCCTCTTTGAGCGTAAGGACTAGTTCTGGGACCCAGGACAGATCCTCAGGAAACAAAAATAAAAATAATATTAATCAAGGAAGTACACATTTATTTAAAGCAGCATGCTTACAGATTGACTTTTGAATTTGAATTTGAAGACCTGACATTCCCTTTTAACCTTCAGGCTGTGACAAGTGCATCTGGGATCTGACAGACGACCTGCGGTTAGCGGCACTCTCAATCGAAGAAAGCAAATCCGGTCTATTGAGTGTGTCTTCTGGTGCCGCTGCTCAGAGGCATGTGAATGAAATGAACTCCACCATCTACCTCCTCAAAGTATGTAGCAGTGTTGGACTTTTGACTATTTTCATTCTGGTTTTGTAGAGTCACTCCTAGCAATTCCTTCTATGTCCTCTTAGTATCTGAGTGGCATGTTTATATTATGGATTGTTAGTCGTAGAAAATTATGAAAAGTTGGTTGTAACCATGAGCTTCAATTTAAACCAAAAGCTGCAAACTATAAAGAAGTTACAATGAAAATGAAATTACTGAAAAACTAGTATCTATGTACAAAACTATTGAATGAAGAGAAATACTCTTATTTCCGTGGTGAAGCTGTAAATGAATTATTCAAGTAATTACCACAAACCTACTCCATTGTTTTAGCCTCAATTTGCAAGGTTTTAAGGAGTTTCTCTAGAAATTTCCTTCTCTTTCTCTCTCCTACCCCCACCTCTCCTTCTCAGACACATTGTCTTCTCTCATTTTCCCTCACTCACACACACACCCATAACCATATTCACATGCTCTGTTTCTCCTCATAGGTTAAGTGGTTAATATCGAATAAACAGCAGTAGATAACAGCCAAAAGCAGTCGACTAGAACTATACTTACATATCTAAGCCTTAAGAGGTATTTGTTTTTCCCTTAATCATGGGTTTCTAGCACAGTCAATAAATATCTTTTTAAAAACAATAATAGTTAGCTGAAAAGATAATAAAATTAATACCAGCACAGCACAATTTTTTTTTCTTTGTTAGCCAATTTAGCATAGTAGTTAAGAGCATAAACTTTAAAGCCAGACTGTTTGTGTTCAAACCCCAGCTCTGACATGTAGTAGCTGTGTGACCTTGGGTAAATTACTTCGCCTCTTTATCCTTCAGTTTTCTCCTCTGGAAATGAGAATAATTGCACCTATTTCATGGGTTGTTGAGAGAATTCAATGAGTTGATATACATAAAGCAGTTAGAACAATACTCAGCTTAGCAAGCACTTATTATTACTTCTTACTCTACTTTTTGGAGATGCACATGATGTCCACAGGAAGTGGCCAAATATCCAAGGGAAAAACAAAAGAAAAATCATCAAGTCGTAGAGCTGGATGGAATCTTAGTGACCATTCTAGCCCAAACTCAGGAAGTCTGTAAAACTCACCCCTTGGGACACACACAGGCACTAATTCTCAGAAGACTAACCCAGACACAAGTCTCTTGATCCAGCCCAAATCTTCTTTCCCCAACAGCCCAATTCCAAAATAGGTATCATTACAGCTGGCAGAAATTCAGTGCCAAGAATGAAGGATTTCCTCCAAAGTAACCCGAGTACAGCTTCATTTGGGCCAAACTCCTCAAAAAAGAGAAAAGAAAGGGGCAAGTAGGCTGAAATAAAAGAGAACTGCTTTCTTTACACCAAAAAGAAAGAAAAAGAAAAGAAAGCTAATTTCTAGCCTACATTAACATTGATCCGGGAGTATTGATCAATTCCTCCAAGCCTGCCCAAATTAAAAATGTAAAGCTCAGAAACCTGGAGCCACCACCAGCCCATACTGCACCTTTGTGCAAATCAGACAAAGATGTCTCTTCCTGCGTGCCCAACACAGCCCCAGCCAGGGTCCCTAGCCTGATGAACAAAGCTTGGAGGGGTTTCATCTCCTGGGGCCCTCAGTCCCCTCCTGCAGACCCCAACCTTCACAACTGCCCATAGCAGCCTAGGTACCCTACTGTTTTGGGACAAAAGCTGGGGACAGAGGTTCATGCTGTACGTCCTCTTCCAATGAAAGAGTTTTGTGTTATATTTTTTAAAGCCTGTTGTGCACATCTACTGATTATTTTCAAAATACGTTTTTCCACAGACGAAATTGTCGGAAAGAGAAAACCAGTACGTCTTAAGAAAGATACAGATCAACAATGCTGAGAATACAATGAAAAGCCTTCTGTCTGACGTGGAGGAATTAGCTGAAAAGGTATGTGTTAGTTTCTGGGACAGCCTTCAAAGAAAGGATTTAGCTGGTGTGAGCCTTGCTAGTCACCAGCAACTGGGGCTTAACATGGCCGAGAAAATACGCAGTGACCCATGTGCCTTAAAATAGATCAAGGCAAGACTTGCGGAGAAAGTTAACACGCTCTGATTCCACCATCTTACCCTTTTTTGATTGCTTTCCTTGAAAAACCATGTGCATGAGGAACTTTAAATATATTTGCTGCCGATTAATATGGTTGAAATATGTTTCAATTAAGATAGTTATTCTGCTGTTTGCCTTAACATTTTAGGGCTAAGAGCTGTACAGCATCCAGAAATAAAGTTTATTATGTAGAATATAAAATTTGAATATTTGCTAAAGTGTGCATTAAATAGTGAAAGGAAAGAAAAGGAAATGTGTGGAGAAAACAATTTTTCAATTTGGCAGGGAAAAAAAAACCACTTTAAACCCTCACTTTACACCAAATATTAAATTCCAGATGGATTAAAGAGTTGAGTCAGAAATCTCAAATCTTAGAAAAAATACAAGAAAACAGAACAAAATCATTAATAAACCTTGGAAGGAGGTTTAATACACTTACAGTGTGAGGAATTCCAATGGAAAAAGGTAAAAGATTTGACAAGATAAAAAATTTCAATACCCAGTAAAACAGCTAAATAAATGGAAAACTCAAATATACTGAGAAAAATATTAAGATAAATATGACTGGTAAAAGCTCTCACAGATTAACAAGAAAAACGTTAAAACATGAGCAGAGTCAATGTGAGTGGCTATTCAATACACTCCTCAGAGCCTGGAGGAAAAATACCCAGTCTCGGTGCTGCTCCTCACTGTCTGGGTCTCAAAGTGCACTGCGGAGTCCTGGGTCTCAGATCCCAGTCTCCAAGGTCTCGCTCAGGAAGGTGCTGCACCACCCCCTCCACTTTTCTATCTCCTCTACCTCTGCTTTCCTCCCTACTCCTTCAGCCACAGCAAAAGCAACCTTCAAAGGGATACTTAGGACTGCCTGGAAAGCAGGTCATGTCCACAGATCAAAAGCACCTGAGCCCATCTCTGGTCCTGCTAAAAAGGCAGAATGAAAATAAGTATATGTTTCAATTCCACAACTGTTAATGAACACCTAGTATACAATAGTGACCATCCTTGAAATGGGAGTCCTGGATGGTACAAACCGTTAAGGTGCTCAACAGCCTAACTGAAACGTTGGAGGTTTGAGTGCACCCAGGGGCACCTCAAAAGAAAGGCCTGGCGATATGCTTCTGAAAAATCAGCGATAGAAAACCCCATGGAGCACATTCTACTCTGACACGCATGGGGTCGCCAAGAGTCAGAATCAATTTGAAGGCAACTGGTTTTTAACTGGTCCTTGAGATGAATATAATAGGACCCCTTCCCTCAAGGAGCTCACAGTCTAGTAGGGGAAGCAGATATGTAAAAAATAACTATAACACAGCATTTAGTAATAGAGGCAAGGTACAGGCTAAATGGCTAACACTAAGGAAGAAAAAGTTAACTCTTTCAGCAGGAGTATATTAGGGTCGACTTCTCAGAGATGGTGCTGCTTGAACTATGCATTGAAAAATGACTAAGAGTATATCATTTACTTCCAAGCAAGGGAAATGTACCATAAAAGCACAGAAATGTGAAGCAACATGGTGTGTTCTTGGGACTAGAAGAACTCTGGCTTTGGCCTTGCAGAAGGTTAATTGTACAGCAAGGAATAGGAAAATATGCTAAAAAGGTCTCAGGGGCCAGAACATAAAGAATGCTCAGGAGCATGGACTTCATCCGTGGACTTTGGAAGTTATTGAAGCATTTACCTAAAACATTGACCTGATCAGCTTTGCATTTCAGAACTGTTCCTCTGCAATATGGATGACAGATTGATGAGTGAAGACTCTGAGGAGAGGGACACCGGTCAGTGGTCTAGACAAGAGAATTGTTGGTTGCGTTCATTTGCAACGAATTTACAGTGAACTGAGATGAACTGTGACTGAGGTAGTGAGGGGGAGGAAGAAAGGACAAAATGGCAAACCAACAAACAAGATTTGGTGACCAATTGACTGTGAAGAGTGGCAAGGAGGGAAGCTCTGGCTTGGAGAAATGCATGACTAAGATTAAAATTAGAGGGTGAATTAGTCTGGATATTTTAAGAGTGAAGTATCTAAGGAGATGCTCTGAGGGCAGTTAGAGACATGAGTCTGTAGCTCAGAAAAGAGATTATTTGGAAGGCATTAATGTTTAAAAGGGGCCCTGGTGGCACAGTCGTTAAGTGTTTGGCTGCTAACCAAAAGGTCAGCAGTTGGAACCCTCCAGCCACTCCTTAGAAACCCTATAGGGCAATACTACTCTGTCCCGTAGGGTCGCTATGAGTCAAAATCACCTCGACGGCAACCAGTTTGTTTTTTGTTTTGTTTTGTTTTGTTTTTCAATTGTGCTTTAGGTGAAGGTTTACAGCTCAGTTAATTTCACATTCAAAAATTTATACACATTGTTTTGTGACATTGGTTGCAATCCCCACAATGTGACAGCATGCTCCCCATTTCCATCCCAGATTCCTTGTGCCCACTTGTCCGGTTCCTGTCCCTTCTGGCCTTCTCGTTCTGCTGTTGGACAGGAGCTGCCCTTTCGGTCTCTCATATTTGATTAAACTAAGAAGCACATTCCTCACGTGTGTTTGGTTTTAATGTTTGATAATCAGTTACTGTCAAGTCAATTCTGACTCATGGAGACACCACGTGTGTCAGAATAGAACTCTGCTGCACAGGTAATCCAATAGAAGGCAGAAATTATCAAAACAATATCATTAATATCACAAACAAGTAAAATTTTGCTGAAGATCATTCAAAAATGGTTGCAGCAGTACACTGACGGGGAACTGCCAGAAATTTCAAACTGGATTCAGAAGAGGACATGGAACAAGGGATATCATTGCTGATGTCAGATGGATCTTGCCTGAAAGCAGAGAATACCAGAAAGATGTTTACCTGTGTTTTATTGACTATGCAAAGGCATTCAATTGTGTGGATCATAACAAATTATGGATAACATTGTGAAGAATGGAAATTCCAGAACACTTAATTGTGCTCACAAGGAACCTGTACATAGACCAAGAGACAGTCATCTGAACAGAACAAGGGGACAGTGAGTGGTTTAAAATCAGAAAAGGTGTGTGTCAGGGTTGTATCCTTTCACCATACTTATTCAATCTGTATGCTGAGCAAATAATCCGAGAAGCTAGACTATACGAAGAAGAACGTGGCATCAGGATTGGAGGAACACTCATTAACAACCTGCGATAGCAGATGACAAAACCTTCCTTGCTGAAAGTGAAGAGGACTTGGAGCACTTTCTGATGAAGATCAAAGACTGCAGCTTTCAGCATGGATTACATCTCATCATAAAGAAAACAAAAATCCTCACAACTGGACCAATAAGCAACATCATGATAAATGGAGAAAATACAGAAGTTGTAAAGGACTTCATTTTACTTGGATCTGCAATCTACACCAATGCAAGCAGCAGTCAAGAAATCAAATGATGTATTGCACTGGGCAAATCTGCAAAAGACCTCTTTCAAGTCTTCAAAAGCAAAGATGTCACTTTGAAGACTAAGGTGTGCCTGATCCAAACCATGATATTTTCAATCACTTCATATGCACACAAAAGCTGGACTATGAATAAGGAAGACCAAAGAATTAGTGCCTTTGAATTATGGTATTGGTGAAAAATATTGAATATACCAGGGACTACTGGAAGAATGAACAAATTTGTTTTGGAAGAAGTGTAGCCAGAATGCTCCTTAGAAGCGGGATGGTGAGACTTTGTCTCGCATACTTGGACATGTTGTCAAGAGGGACCCATCCCTGGAGAAGGGCATCATGCTTGGTAAAGTAGAGGGTCAGGGAAAAAGAGAAAGTCACTTAATGAGATGGATTGACACAGTGGCTGCAATGATGGGCTCAAACATAGCAACAATTGTGAGAACAGCGCAGGACCAGGCAGTGTTTTGTTCCATTGTGCATAGGGTCGCTATGAGTCATCAAAGGCACCTAACAACATATATACTTTTGCCTTAAAAGTATATTACATATAAATAAATATGAATAATACATAATAAATAAATACATATGTATGCATACATATATTTTACAGCGCCCTCTGACGTTGGTTGAAAAGAAAAGGTTTTGCTTAGAGGTTTGTCACTTTCAAGCTGCTTTTCATTCTTCAGTTCAATGTTACCATGTTAAAAAGGAAGTTAAATGAATATTGTAATAACACTGGGGCTTTTCCCTTGAAGAATGATGCTGAAGTAAATAATATGAGTATTATACTTTGCAAATATAACCCAATTTAAACTGCATCAAATTGCAACTTGCTAAAAATTTTTAAATGTTTGCATCTATATTTTTTAATAAGGGGTGGAAGGATGACAACAAAAATAAGGTTCAGCTTATTCTCAGTATCATCTGATTTTAAAATGACCGTGAATATTTTTTCTCTGGAAAACATTAGAACAAGTCAAGAGGAAGACTAGAATTGAAGGAAGGAATGCAAGGACTCAGAACACGGTGCCCATTCAGAAAGCCCACAGTTCAGTGAAGTGACTGATGGCCCCATAGCTACTCCACAGGGAGCTTCACAGCTCTCAAGCACTGCTTTGCATGGAGGGGTGCGCAGACTGGCCTGAGAATGAACTTCTCTGGCATATGTTTGCTTTAATACCATTTTTGCATTCTCTTCCTTGGTCGTCTTAGAGGGCCACTTGCTTTGATCATACCTGGGAAGTGTAAACACATTCTGGTTGAAATCATGGAATATTTCTCTAGATAGAGCACAGGATAAAGGGAGAAAGGTTTGAGAAAGCCCCTTGCCTATCCTGGAAACACTGTACAATGGGTCTATCAGCACTCTATATGGCAGATCATCCTGCAGCTCATTCAGGCACTGCACCACTTTGTCACAGAGCTGAGTCAAAAAAGCACTGAACAAGGCAAGCGGGCATTTACCAAATGCCAGGCTGAAGAGCTCCTCCTCCTGTAAATATGACCCCTGAGGCTGTCTTTCTATTGCCAAAAGGAAGTACCCGTCCCCCACAGTGTGCATACAAAGCAGTGTCCTGGCCTTGACCAGTTTCTATGCTCATAGATCAGCTTCTTTCTTTAACCACACACGTACACATACCCACCCACACACCCCCTGTCTTCAGAAGCCACATTTGAGTTGGGATTTAATTTTGACAAATACCACAAGGGAGCTCTAAAAAAAACTCCCAAGTTGAGAGAATGGAGTCAGCTTTTCAGAGAAGATCTCCAGGCACTCTGAGCCAAATCTGTGTGAGCAGTTATTTGTACACAAGTGCCATCAATGTTGATGGGAATTTGGAGTGAAGCACTGAAAACTGCAGTCAGCCCAGTGAGCATAATCCTTTAAATCTCTGTGGTAATTCAGTCTCATCAGTGGTTGGACCACCCGGGAGCCATTGGATGCATGGATCACATCAAGGTCTGCCTATTTTCTCAACAGTTTTCCTTGGGCCTTTAAGCTCTTTAGTCAGCACAATGTCAAACTTGATCAGCAGACATGAGTAATTTCGTAGTCTGGCATCTTGAGGTACAGTAGAATTTCAAAGGGTAGATGGCATATGAAATGCAACTGGTTTGGATTGTACTGTGACCGATAGCATGGGAATAGCATCTGATTTTAGAGCATTTTGTGATTCTAAGACTAGTCATCATCACATTAGCCTTCAAGCATGATTTCTGGGACCATTTTATATGTTAATACAAGTTTCATATACCAGGAAAATTTATGTTTATGGAATACATTATGCTCACCCAGCCCATATGTACATATACAATGTGGCTTTCTCATAAATTTAACCTAGAGTTTATATGCATTATTTGTAGGAAAATCAAGCCTCGAGAAAGAGTCAGCTGATTCAGAAGGAAACCGTGGATACCATTAACCATGCAACTCAGCTTGTTGAACAAACCCACAATATGAGGGATAAAATCCAAGGTAAATACACTATCTTCTGGTTCAGCTTAATGTAAAGGAACCAGTCATATTATTAACAGCCATGAAAATAGTGGCTACCGTCAGCACTTACTATGTGCCAGATACTGTTGTTAGAGTGTTATATGTTTAAACTTACATAAGGTCTTCATTTCAAGTTCATTTATCTGGGAATTCTGAACACTTGTATCTGTTGAATTTCAAGAATAAATGTACAGAATCATTCCCATTTCAGGCATTTCACAGAAGTGGGGTGTCAGAATGTCTTTCCAGCAGAGGAAATTACATGCTATGGTTTCCCTAAAATGCAATCGTTGAGTAGGAGTTGGACATCTTTCTCGGATATTTGCAGAGAAAAACATTGCTTAGTAAATGGCAGTAAACTCTCAGCTAATCTAAACCATTATAAGCTGTTTGGGTTTTTTGCTCTTTCCCAAGGACCAGGCAGGCAACATGCTCTGGGTCCCCAACCCAGAAGAAAAGGGGAGAGACTGGGTGAGATTCCTTTGACCTAAACCATTGTGGTAGATTTTACCTTCCCTCTTGGAGGTTTACTTATTTGTGCTTTAACTCCTGATAAGTGCAGGCTGCATCTTGAAGACTGTCTTAATAGCACACTGGAAGCTATTTACCAAGAGAAAACAGGCAATTTCATTTGTTCTAAGATAGAGAAATTCCTTGGGTTAGAGTGTGGGAAGATACAGTATTTGTGTATTTCCATAGTTTTTATTATCCTGTATATTAAAGGCTGGACGACAACACCAAGTGTATCTCAGGGCACAATTGCAGTAAAAGGACCCACACTGGAAGATTTGTGTCTTATTTCGAGATATCAGGGGCATATTCCAGGCAAAAGGATATTTCAAGCCAGCATTAATTATTTGCTACATTTCCTTTACTGCCTATAATACACAATAAAAGCAAACGACATGCATTTCAAACACTCCCTGCTGCCATCCTTACTATCTCATGGTTTTGCATGTACTGATAAACTATTATTTTCCTATAGCATTTTAAAATTACTATTGATTTATTCAAAAGTAAGATTGAACCTAGAAAATTAAATGACCTCATTGAATTAAGAAATAAATGCCTCTTTAGGCAGCAAATAAAGCCAGTATGCTAGAAAGCTATTCAAATCAAATAATGTGCCTTTGCTGTTATTATCCAAATTTTGATTCTAAGATGTTTCATTTGGGAAGAATCTGAAACCCTCTTATTTGACCCTTTAAGTATGAGAAACAATGAAAAAGAAGTATAAATGGGAAACAATAATATCCATCAGTTTTTACCTTTTAAAAAATAATGTATAAAAAATCCCAAAGACCAATGGGAAAAATGTTATTGTCTACATTTTCTTCTATAATCTATACCAGGCATGATTAAAATAAAACAGAACAAAATTATAAATATAATAACCCAAAACCCGTTGCTGTCAAGTCGATTCCAACTCATAGCAACCCTATCTATACAGAGGACAGAGTAGAACTGCCCCATAGGGTTTCGAAGGCTGTTATCTTTACGGAAGCAGACTGCCACATTTTACTTCCAGGGAGCGGCTGGTGGGTTTGAACCGCAAACCTTTTGGTTAGCAGCTGAGTACTTTAACCACTGCGCCACCAGGTCCCCTTTGTAAATATAGTATTTGCATCAAAATGCCAAAGAATTCTGCATTGCAAGTGCTAGAGCTGAGAAGGGAAAAAAACCTGTTTCATTTACTTCAGGGTTTAATATTTCAGACTTTCACTTGAAAAGTGGAGGTTTAATCTCTTCATAGTTTTTTTTCCCCCAGTATACCTTGATTTCCCTATAACTTTCTTAGTAATATTTATAGCATTAAAAACCTCTTCCCCCATTTTTTTTTTCTTCCTTTGGAATTCAGAAATGCTGTACAACACCAATGGTACGTCATTTCTTATTCCCAACCATCTCTAAAGTAACTGCTGGTGACCTTCAAGCTATTATCCATATAAAATACAGCCCCGTATCACAGTATGATTTATGTGACATCAGTGTTTGTTTACCCATCTTGCCTGACCAACCGCATAGATCATAGTAAACCACAGACACACAATTTCTTTTATGCCAGGAAGATAAAATGCTTCCTCCCATATCTGCCATAGGACAAGGTGGCAATAACATAATTTTCTTCTGATCATACATAGCTGGAAGAGGGAGTCAGAGAATGATCCTGCTTTACTATTATTTAGACAAGTCATTTAATCTCTCCAAGCCTCAGCAGTCCCTTTCAGTTCTAAAACTCTTCATCCTACTTATGGAAGTGGAGTGAAAATGACCCAGAGTCACAATGGCCCAATTTTGACAAGAGACGTATGCAGAAGGCAAATAGCAATTGGCAGAAAACAAATATTTATGAGTAAAAACTCACATCATACTATAACAAATCCCTATTCTATAACTAGTAGGTAAAACAACCTGAAGAACTCACTTGAATAATTGTCAACATGTTTTCATTTTGACTTTAGAGCTTTGGCCCAATTCTTGGCTAAAATAAAATTAATACCTGCAAAGCATCTTACATATGACAGGAGATACCTCAGAAAATCTTCTCCAAGTTAAGTATTTTATATTAAAAAAAAATTACCAAAGACCCCAGATATGTGTGCCTTGAATTTTAAAGTCTTCAAATCATGGAAGTAACTAGCTGTGGATGAAAGCAGGGCAGAGTTTGTATTAGCCCCATTCCCATTCTGAAAACACCTCATGGGAAGCAGAGACAAGTGACTTCCCAGGTTCTTCTTCCCTCTGGATTAAGTGATGAACTCCGATGCAGACAGTGGTATTTGCAATGTGGATGCCAGTATACTGACGTTGAATGAGCTTCTCTTTCTGCTTTAGGATCAGCCCACTACCCTTCCCTCCGCTGTGTCTTCCATGGTGTCACTATAATACGCCCGGTCATCTCTCCCTGCTGTCTTATTTCACCATGTTTTTCCTTTCAGAGATCAACAACAAGATGCTCTATTATGGAGAGGAGCAGGAACTTAGCCCTGAGGAAATCTCTGAGAAGCTGATGTTGGCCCAAGAGATGCTTGAGGAGATTAGACGCCGTCAACCGTTCCTCACCCAACGGGAGCTTGTGGATGAGGAGGCAGACGAAGCTCATGAGCGTAGGTGTTTTCAGCTTCTAGCTGACCCAGCAGATGTTTATCTTCTTTGTGCATCTGGGAAAGGACACAGAGTCTACAGCACAGCATTTGGTCAAAGCAGCCAATTCCCAATATTCAGAGCAGGGGTGGATTAACCAGTAAGCACAGTATAGACTGGCTTATAGTAAGCAAGGTACACACAGGTGAAATTGTGCACCAAAGATTAGTAAATAAGCACCGTTAAACCCATGGGTTCCTTGCGTATTGGGTAATACGTCCCTGAATTTTCAGAGCTATTTAGAATTCATATGTGGCCTCAGGGAATCATTCAGATCTGCTTGACTATAGGAGCAAGATTTTTCGATCCAGGTCCAATCTAGAGCACTTGGAGAATAGCTGTGATCCCACAAGGAATCTACAGAACTTTTACTCCTGTAGGGAAGAAGTAGGAACAGAGCACTTGATAAAAACTTATAAACAGGGAAAGGAGAATTGAGGGAAAACAGTTCCCAGACCTACAGTAAGAGAAATTTTCTCAAGAAGGCAGAAAAGCTACAAGCCCAGCCACATCACATTGTGAGGGCTGTGGATGACTTTCAACGTAGGTTTTTCTTATTTCAGTTGAGCCAATTTGTGTTGATTTCCTCTACACGTCACTGTTGTGCCTTTAGTAGGAGGCTTGCCAGGTCTTTTTTTTTTTTTTTTCCCCTCAACTTCCCTCAGATTTTTGTTTTGTTTATTTTTTTTATTTTAATCTATTCTCCTGTGGTTGTTAACAGGAAACCCCTTAGAAAAAGCTCAGAAGGACATGTGTACTTGCCCGGTGTCAGGAGGAATGGTGGATAAGCAGTGTTTCATTCTGCAGAGGTCCTAGGAGAATAGAAACCAGGGTGAAAGGGAGTAGAGGCAGGGCTGGAGTGAAGCAGTATGGAGGTCGACCCTGGGACTGCATAAGGAAACTAGCAGGGTGTGTGAGACAGGAGACATTTCAGAACCCAACCAAGGAATGTGTGCAGTTACAGGAAATTCCCCAGGCCAAGCAAGGGTTCTTTACTGGGGTCCAGGAAGTTTGTAAACTTGAACAGGAAATAAATTACTACTTTATTTTCACTAACTTCAAATTGAAATGTAATATTTCCTTTAATGATGAATGTAGACATCTAACCATAGTACTGTTTTCAAACCTATGATTTGGTCCTGTATTTGTTATCAATCAATGCCTAATAAGCCACCCTGAAGATATTGGTTTAAAACAATTGCCATTTATTTGCTCATGACTTCATGGGTGGGCAATTTGGAATGGGCTCAACCTGGATAGTTTGGCTCACTCACATGCTTGGGCATCAGCTGGGATGTCTGGTCTTCTCTCTCCAAGTGGAGTCTTACCCTCAAGGAGGCTAGCCTGCCTTGTTCATGGGAGCATTCTAAACGGGCAAAAATGGAAACTGCAAGGTCTCCTGAGGCCTAGGTTCAAAACTCAACAATGTCACTCCCATCTTATTCTATTGGTCAAGACCAGCCCAGATTCAGGGGATGAGGAAAGAGATTCCACATCTTAATGGGAGGAGCTGCAAAGTATTTGTGGCCATTTTTAATACAAGCAATCAATTTAAAAAAAATTACAAACATGCATATCACATTTTAGCTGTTGCTGATACCTCACAGCATTGTTTAAACTCATCGATAGTTCAACATTATGGTAGTTATTAGACCCACCCCTGGATCTTGTTTAATGCTTTAGTGAAGAAGAACATATATTATTATTTTACCAATTTTTTTTTTTTTAGAATATTGCTCTCCTTTTTAATCCAATGTATTTTTTGTATGCATTTTAAAACACATTGTAGGAAGAGATCTATAGGCGTCACTAGATTTCAAAGGGACAAATGGCATAAACAGGGTTAAGAACACCAGCATTAGGTTGTTTTCCTACAATTGTCACTATCAACTTCTGCTAATAATTATTATGACTACTCTAGAAGAGGAACATTCTTGACATATAGATATATTTTGGTATCAAACATGTAAAGTCTTAGAAACAGAAAGGACCAGAGAAGAATCTCAGGCTCTTGTCCCTCTCTGAGTCAGGACGAGGCTGCCGTCAGGAAGCTGGTGCTCTACTGGCATAGCAGATGTTTCTAATCTGCTTGCCTAGCTTGGAACTCAGTGAGACTGCCCTGGGGAAATGGGACCAATCACCTCTCACTTAGCCGCCTTCAGCCTAGTGAATGTATTTTCAGCCCCTTTCTTTACTAAGCCATAAACATGGATCTTCTGCTGACGGTGATGAAAGAAAATACAAAGCCTCAACAGGACAGATTGATATTCCCTGAAGAAAAATAAAACTAAGCCCATAGTCAATGCCTGTGCTTTTTGAGCAGACAATAAAGACACATATACAGTTATTGTCATTTAATCTTCTTCCCACCCAAAATGTTGGTTTGGGTTTGACCTAAAGGAGCTAACTAAAAACAATTGCCTGGAGAGAGCACAGAAAATGCGTAGTTTTTTTATAAACATCATTTTCCCTTATTAGTGAAAAGATCATTTTGGTTTATTTTTAATAATAAAAGCGATAGTATATCCAAGTCCTCTTTACATAGTAAAATTATTAATAATCTAGGTAATAAAAAACATAGTATAATGACATGGTTTCCATATAAAGCATAATAATCCCAACAAGAACGTAATCAAACTCTTCTTCTAGCTTACTGTGCTCCAAAGGCTCCCAAACCCCACAAAACAGCATTTTTACTTCAAGTGTAAAACATGAGGCTACTTTTGTGAAAAACAACTACAATCTCCGTTGCTAAAGAAGAGAAGCCATGGCCTGATAAGCCTGCACCATTGCTAAATGCTGGGAGGGGACAAAGAGAAGCCCAGCCTGAGTTTCTTTCACCCTTTCTTCCCAGTGTTGAGCCAGGCTGAGAGTTGGCAGCGGCTGTACAATGATACCCGCTCCCTGTTTCCTGTTGTCCTGGAGCAGCTGGATGACTACAATGCTAAGTTGTCAGACCTCCAGGAATCGCTTGACCAGGCCCTTGACCATGTCAGAGATACTGAAGACATGAACAGGGCCGCAGCAGCCAGGCAGCGGGACCACGAGGTACGGTGGACACTATACCCATTGCTGGCGAGTTGATTCCGACTCATGGTGACCCCATGTGTTACAGAGTAGAACTGCTGCTCAGTAGGGTTTTCTTTGATGTAATTTTAACAAAAGCAGATCTCCAGAACTTTCTTCCACGGTACCACTGGGTGAGTTCAAACTGTCGACCTTTAAATTAGTAGTCGAAAGCAAACCATTTGTGCCACTTGGGACCTATTATTACTTACAAGTAGAGATAAACTGTGTGTGGTTTTCATTTCAAATTGTGAGTTGTCAGTCTCGGCAAAATGCTTTAGGTCTTCTACACAAAGACCCATAGCAGAGAACACATGCAAGTATATTGTGTGCTAACATGTTCAGTTCTTTATTGATATTTAAAAAAGAAAAACAATCCAAACCCATTGCCCTCCAGTCAATTCCGACTCATAGCCGTCCTATGGACAGAGTAGACCTCATATGGTTTCCAAGGCTGTAATCTTTATGGAAGCAGACTGCCACCTCTTTTTCCCATGTCTCTATTGACATACCAAAAAAAAAAAAAACCCTGCTGCCGTCAAGTGGATTCCGACTCATAGTGACCCCATAGGATTTCCAAGACTGTAAATCTCCACAGAAGCAGACCATCACATCTTTCTCCCTCTGATCAGCTGGTGGTTTCGAACTGCCAACCTTTCAGTTAGCAGTCAATTGCTTTAACCATTGCACCACTAGGGCTCCTTAATATTACCCGTACAATTCCAGTTCTAAAAATGAATGATTGCCAAAATATCTTTTAATTAAACTTTTCCTGCACACAGTTTTTATTTAAGCTTCATGCGGGAGTTTGGCATTTTCATGATTCAGACAGATGGTAGGCCTCATTTAGCTTTGCTGAACAAACTTTTCTGAGTATAAATGAACAGCGTGAGCAAGATTTCAGTAAGAGAACACCATGGTGTTGAGGCATTTTAAAGCTCTGCTCAGTCTCAGTTCTCCTCCTCTTCCACACCTCTGGAGGCTGGCATCAGCCAACCCTCATGCCCTCATGCCCTCTCTCTGTAACTTCCTCTACTCTCACCACTTCAGTTCTTAAGAGGGATTTATGGGTCTAAATGCTTATCCATAAATTCTCCCCAGTGAGCAACTTTCATATTGGTATCTGTCTATAGGAATTGCCACATAGCTATGCCCCTCTTTTACCTACTAAAATCAATGTTTTTTTCTATCTCCCCTCCCAAATTCCTCCTTTCCTGTTGGATTAGAAACTGGGGGCATCTTCTCTCCCTTGCAAGTCACCAGGCTGTAAGTCAGACCCTCTGTCCCAACAGTTCTGTTTCAGGACAAACTCTTCAGCTCTTACAGCCTCACCTGTGAATGGTTTTATTGGTCTCCTCACTGGACTCCCTGACTTCTCACCCTGTTTATATTACTGCCAGATGAGATTTCCTAAGGTGTCTTCCATTATATAAAAAATATGTAATAAACCCATTTTTGAAAGCCTTCAATGACTTCCAACTTAGGAAAGGTAAATTGCCCAATCATTCGTGATCTGAGGCCACCCACTGTTCCAATAATATTTCCTGGATCCCCTACAAAACCTGCCTCCCAGCCAGAGGAGATTGTCTTAGTCATCTAGTTCTGCTATAACAGAAATACCACAAGTAGATGGCTTCAACAAAGAGAAATTTATTTTCTCACAGTCTAGTAGGCTAGAAGTCCAAATTTAGGGTGTCAGCTCCAGGGGAAGGCTTTCTCTGTCGTCTCTGGAGGAAGGTCCTTGTCATCAATCTTCCCTTGGTCTGGGAGCATCTCAGCGCAGGAACCTCAGGTCCAAAGGATGCACCGTGCTCCCGGCACTGCTTTCTTGGTGGTATGAGGTCCCCAACTCTCTGCTTGCTTCCCGTTCCTTTTATCTCTTGTAAGATAAAAGGTGGTGCAGCCACACCCCAGGGAAACTCCCTTTACATTGGATCAGGGATGTGTCCTTAGTAAGGGTGTTACAATCTCACCCTAATCCTCTTTAACATAAATTTACAATCACAAAATGGAGGACAACCACACAATACTGGGAATCATGGCCCAGCCAAATTGATACACACATTTTTGGGGGGACATAATTCAATCCTGACAGAGATCATGCATTTTCTTCTTGCTTTCCTTTGCTTATGGTGTGTGTGTCCTTTGTTCATTACTCCACATCTATACCTAATTCTATCTAGCCTTTAAGATCTAGATTAAATTTCTTCCTCCACAGAGTGCCTTACCTACTTACTCAAGTCCCCAGGAAACAATTGCCCTCAAATTTATTCCAATTCATGATGACCTCATGTGTGTCAGAGTAGAACTGTGCTCTATAGGGTTTTCAATGTCTGTGACCTTTTGGAAGTAGATCACCAGGCCTCTGGGTGAGGTGCCTCTGAGTGGATTCAAATGGCTAATCTTTCGGTGAATAGCCCAGTGCTTAAATGTTTGTGCCACCCGGGAGCTTAAGCCCAGTGGTTCTTAAATTTTTTTTTTTTGCAATCTTATATCTTTTGAGAATTCAGTGAAATAGACATACATACACACGTATATCCTGGCCAGGAAAAAAAGATTGTGCACTTGTTCATACACTCAAGTTCGGCAGACAAGTTCAGGTAGACCATCTTAACCCCAAGTTAAGAACATTGCCCATCAGAAAGGACCACTTCTTCCTCTACACTAATGCAGCCCTTGGTAGCTGTACCCCTGGAATGATCACCAAGCTTCATCACACTGAGCATATATTCTGCTACTTCCCATTCAGCATTAATTGCTGAATGTGGTGTGGTGTACTGTGCGTGTACGTGCGTGCGTGTGTGTGTGTGTGTGTGTGTGTGTGTGTGTGTGTGTGTGTGTGTGTGTGTGGTATGCATTTAATCTCCCCCCATTAGATTGCAAACATCCGGAAGGCAGGACTTCTACTTTGCACAAATTATATCTTTTTAACACCTAACACAATGTCTTGCATTAGTTACATTTGTTGCTGAATGGATGTATGGATAAATGCGTGAAGCACTCTTCAGGTAATACAGAAGTAGTTTATGTGTACTGGTTATTATTGATTATAAATTTTCTTTTCAAATTAACTGGGATCTCTAAATTACCAAGCAATGCTATTAGTATTCTTTGTGTACTTCTGTATATTCAAAGTCATGAAACTTTAATTTCTTCCAATATAATTTAAAACTGAACCTTACATTTGTATAGTAGTCTTTCCTATGACGAATTGGTTTGAATGGCTCTGACTTTATTGGAACTGTTTTAGAAAACAAACTTGAGTGTTTTAATTTCACACTACAGCATGGTTTAGAATAACACCAAAATTTCAGTCTTTATACAAAACCAAGAATAATCCCATAGATAAATCACTTTGATGACTGCAAACAGTAACCATCCAACTAATAATTACGTTATTTATATCGTCATCTACCTCCCAACCCCATAGGGTAACAGAATAATGAAAATCTTCATCAGATGAATATAGAATTCTGTATTTTAAAAGTAGATAAAATAATTTTTAGAAAGTATTGTTTAGGGATTTTTGTAAACTAAAACTCTGCCCTCCCAGGATTGTTTCAATAATTTTTTTTAAGGATCATAAAACTTTTTTTTTTTTTAGCATATGTGAAGTGGATATTGAAGTATGCTCAATAGTGCTATTTATGTCATTTTAGTAATTATTGGTTTTCAAAACCTTCTTTTGTTCCAGTTGACCATCTTTCTCTAGGAATATTATTGTTGTTTCAAAGCTAACTTTATTCTCCTCTGTTTAATGCTATATATGATAAGTGGAGGAAACCCTTTAACTTGAAGTATATCATTTTCCAACTGCTGCAAATAAGCTTACCACACAGTGCTGCTAGCAAACCACTCTGAAGTTTGACTTCAGGGTATTTAGGAATCATTCCCTTAAAGCAACCTGACACAAGAGCTTACAGAAGGGATCGTATCTCAAACCCTATGAAAGGAGAACTGCTGTTAGAGCTAACTAATACCAACCTTTTTTTTCAATTCCCTTCCTTTACATACTTTAACACACATACTTTACATTGCTGCTTTTTTGTAGCGTTACATAAGTCACTTTCTTTTGTGGACATAAGACAATTTAACTCCGGATAGGCTTGATGGATAGAGAGGGAAAATTGATTTTTGTTGTTGTTGTTGTTTTTTCATTAAGGAGGTCAAAATTCAATTATTTGCTGTCCCTAGACCTATGGCTTCCCGTATAGCAACGTATTTGGAGAAGATGGGTTCCATTCTTCCTTTACCCGAAATCAGAAAAGACGCCAGGGGTTAAGAAAAGGCATTAGGATGAACTAAGAAAATTTTAAAATATTTCCTTTCAGCTCTAAGCTTCTATAATTATTTCTATGATATCATAGATTATACTATATATTTCAACTCTAATTTAAATTACCGTTTCCAATGGAACGTCAATTCATTTTTTACTCAAATTGTAAAATGAGCCTTTTACTTTTCTCCCTAAAATTTCATTCTTTTTTACTTTCAAACTCTGAACTCATTTGCAGTCCTACTACATTTCCTTAGAATCACAACATCCTTTCCTCTAGAACCCAAATGTGAAGGTAGAAATTAAAGCATTCATCAAAGAATATATTACCACTTGGGCAAAAATATATTAGCACCGGGGGATTTCTCTGTTCAAAAAGTCTAATCATCTAACATAAAGAGCTCAGAGCAGTATGAAGCAAGATCATAATTTTCTGTTTTTATAATAAGGTCAAGGATCCCTAGTGGTGTAATGGTTAAGGGCTCAGCTGCTAACTAAAAGGTCAGCAGTTCAAACCCACCCACTGCTCTGTGGAAGAAAAAACCTGGCAATCTGTTCCCATAAAGATTTCAGCCTAGAAAATGCTATGGGGCAGTTCTACTCTGTCCTATAAGGTTGCTATATGTCAGAATCGACTCGATGGCACACGACAACAACAAAAATAGTGTTATTTTAAATTTTTTTTAAAGAACATTAAGATTATTTTGTATATGCTTTGTTGTTTTTAAAATAGACAATTTGTGCCTGATTCAAAGTTAGCACTTGATAAATGCTTTTTGAATTAATGATAAAATTATATATAAATATAATCTATACAGACATATGAAATATATAAATATATGAATAATTATATAAGGACTCCTTGGGTGATGAAAATGATTAACACACTCAGCTGCTAACCCAAGGGTTGGAGGTTCTACTCAACCCACAGATGCCTTGGAAGAAAGGTCTACAATCTAAATCCGAAAAATCAGCCATTGAAAACTCTGTGGAGCACAGTTCTACTCTGACACACTTGGGGCCTCCATGAGTTGGAATCTGGTGGTGGTATATAATTACATATGATATAATATTATATAATTAATAATATAATTTTATATAATATGTAATACATATATAACTATATATAACCATATGTACATATTGTCATGTATATGTACATATGGTTATATATAGTTATATATGTATTATATATTATAATTATATGTATATATATATAATCTGCAGAGCCTGTATTCAATCCTATATCCAGAGTCCCACTTCACATTTATGGAGAAAAGAGTCAAACATCCTCTCTGAAGTGCTAACTCTTTCTTTGAGACGATGATGTTAAATATAATAATCATAACTAAATGCTTTTAACCTCCGAAGGTGCTTGCTTTTATTATTTCCATATTATAAATGAGAAAGCTGAGCGTTAAAGCGATGGATCTCTCCAAAGTATCACAGCAAGGTAGTCGTGGACCTGGGATGTGAACCCAGATTTGTCTGAGTCCAAGACAGCAAGTTGAAAGCTGTATCATTGTGTCTGATACTTTCTCTAAAGAACACTGTCTTTCTCTCTCTCTTGCTCTTCCTTCCTACAGAAACAACACGAGAGAGTGAGGGAACAAATGGAAGTGGTGAACACATCTCTGAGGGCATCTGGTGACTCTCTGAGAACCCCTCGCCTGACTCTTTCAGAACTTGATGATATAATAAAGGTAAGAACCCATGTGGTTTGTTCAGGTTTGTGTTTATAGCAGGTTAGAACAATAGCTCAGTGTCACAGAAAAATAATCAAAAAATTCAATTCAAATCAATCAAGTTAGCCAGCATTGTAAAAATAATATCAGGTGATTGAATTTTTCAGTTTCTTGCATTGTATGGTAGCCACTAGCTACATATGACTACCTAAAATTTAAAGTACTTAAAATTAAATTTTTAATTCCCCCATTTGATTATTCACTTTCAAAGTGCCCAATAACCACACGTGGTTAGTGGCTACTATATGGACAGCAAAGATATCATCACAAAAAATTCTACTGAAAACACTGATCTAGATCCATCCTATTGACTCTTTATTCATAAGTTGTGGGTTTAATGAAGCTGGCATTCAAAATCAGTAAACTCACATTTTGGAGAAGTAGAAATTTTCCAATAAAATGCAGTGAACCAAACCATCATGAAATCACTTAGCTCGTTTTTATTACCTTTGGAAGAATGTAATTTTAAGGCCATCTATCTGATTACTGTCTCAGTCTTTAACTATTTCGTCACCAAGCTCTGTCTTCCTCTCCATTCTATCTCTCATCACTATTCTTGATGACATCAAAATCCAGATGCATAAGCCCACCATCTTTCTGATCTCCAGTTCCTTGAACTTCTCCTTCTCAACAAGTTTTTCTTCCAGTTTACCTCCATTGTCTCTCCTGTGGCCACAATGAGATTTTGACGTCAGTAATAGAACTTCCTCCCGATCCCTGTTTTAAGCACCTTCCTCTCTGAACACTATCTCTTACCTCACTTACCCTAGAATCCTCACTCCAACAATTCTCTTACCATGTTAAGACCTCCACCACCTCATTTACCCAACCCTCTCATATCCTCTCTTCCCTCCATAGGCAGCTAAGATCATCAATATGCTTGTTCCTTGCAAATACCCTTAACTCCCATACACAATGGATCCTCTGTTGTACTCACCTGAGAACCCTAAACCTGATTAAACCCAAGTATCCCTTCTCCGTGGCTGTACCAGAGCAACCAAATGTGACTGATGGGAAACTTACCCCCGCTTCTGTTAGTCCTGGCTGGTGATCTTGCTTCATACTTCATTGAAAAAATTAGAAAAAAACAGAAGAGAACTCCCCTCATGTTTCCTCCCCAAATCTACCAACTCACTTTCATCTGTGTCCACACCTCTACCTCCATCCTGTTATAATTAATGAAGTGTCTCTTCTCCTACCAATGTCCAATGCCTCCTCTTTTCTCTGAATCCCTTTGTTCCTCTCCTTGAAACAAGGGTTTATGGGTTTCTCTCTTGAAATTAGGCCCTGTGTCTTCTGAATCATCCTATTCTTCCTCTTTACCAAAGCATTAATGTCAACATACAAACATGTCTAGTATCTCCTATCTTTTAAAAATTAAAAAGAAAAACAGCTTTTGCCCTTACATGAACTGAGCTTTCTTCATACAGGGGAAACATCAGGGGTATGGAAGAAATGTTCCCTACTAACAGTTGGTTTATATTTCCTAAATAAAAAGAAAACAAAGTGATCTGTTTAGAATCGGGTAGGAGTGAAGGGAGGAAATATTAGCTTGGGAATAGTGGCAGGCTTAGAATCACTATTTGGTGACTGGGAGAGCAAATCTCTTTCCACCATTGAGGGACCAGCCTAGGTCATAGGTCATGTTTGCTGCAGCAGCCATCTGCACAGTCGTGTGATCTTTGGGAGAGATCATAGGAGGACTATGGTTGGATTGAAAACAAAAAGAGGTAGTGTCATGAGTTGGGTCCCAGGGAGGGAGTAGTCAACCACATGCAGTGTAGCTGAGAGGTCAGATAAAATGAGAACTGGATGATGCCTATTGGATTCTGTTTTGATGGGGTAGTGGGGTAAAACCAGATTGGTCAAAGTGTAAATAGAAAGTAAGAAAATAGAGACAGCATGCATAAACAACTTGTTTTGAGACATTTTGATATGATCAGAATAGAAAAGTACGGTTGTAACATTAGGGAGATGTGTGGGTAATGGAGGGGTTTAGTTTAGTTTGTTTTCAGATGAAAGACAGTTGGGCATGCCTGAATGCTAGTGAAGCAATACAGTAGAAAAGAAGGGGTTGAAGATGCAGGAGAAGTAGATAAATATTTGCTGATAGTATTTTAAACTCATATACACTTGACCTGAAATTTATTAAACTTCATAATAAGGAAGAATAGAAATTACCTTTTGGTGTTCCCTGGGGAAAATATCTTAAGTCCTTCTAAATTAAATTTACTGGTTTTTTTTTTTTTTTTTAAGAATGCATCAGGGATTTATGCAGAAATAGATGGAGCCAAAAATGAACTACAAGGAAAACTATCCAACCTGAGTAACATCAGTCATGATTTGGTCCAGGAAGCTATTGACCATGCACAGAACCTTCACAAAGAGGCTGATGAAATGAACAGGTAATATACTGGTTTCAGAAATGCACGTGTCTACATGGGCTGAATAAAATATTTTCATTTAATTCTCCATGCCAAAGTTATTGGAATATAGTGTTAGCAAGTTGGTTTTAGGGTGGGATTGGCTGGTTGGTTGGTTGGTCCCTTTGAGAGTCATAGTTTATTGCAATTATTTGGGGGAGAAGGTTTTTCAGTTTTTTAAAAACTCTGTCAGATTAGAAACCTGTGACTGTGTGTGTGTGTGTGTTGAGTAGGGTTGAGGGAGTCTGCTCTCAAAACTATTAATAGGGTGGTGTAAGGAATTTTGGTTAGGTACATAACTGCTGCATAAAATATTATCAAGTAAATCAGATCTCTTTACAAGGCGTAATTCTGCCGTCATCACCTACTCATTTTATAGACAGCATTAACTTTCCACCCTCAAGTTCCTGAAGTAAAGCTAGTTGGGAGTTGGCAATACAACTGTCTTCTAGTAAATACTCCAGCCACTCCACAGTACCCAACAGGAACTATTTGATTTCAACACCTGTTAAGAGAAAATCAATTGACAGTTTTCCTCACGGCATCTAGGAGAGAGTCACGCACCCCATGGAAACTCAATTAATGTTAATTGAAATGTACTGAAAGATTGGAATTGAATTCATGACCCTGAAATAATATGTAAATAATTAGATCATTATAGAGAATGAGTACAATCTGGCAGTTGGAAACGAGGACCAGTAAAGGTCATGCAAAAATTCAGAATCAATATTAACTTCTGTTCGAAACTTAAATCACCTTTTTTTCCCCCCTGATGGCCAAAATTTTCAAATATCCTTCCAGATCTCCTGAGAATTAAGGGAAAGAGAAAGAAGGAGCAAGAGTAATAGATTTCACAAAATCTGGTGTGTGAGATAGTGTTAGATCCAATTCAATGTCATCTCCCAGAAAGTGTGCTTTTTATCAAAGCAGTAAAATGAGGCTTTGATAAAATATGGTTTTGGAAAACATACTGGATTGGTAAAATATTGTTTTTGTGATCCATCCTATGACTTTCTTCACCGTTCTTTTGTCATATTAGTAACTATGTCCCATTGATTGGGATCCCCGAACATACCTTCTCTAAATGTCACTCTGTAACGGTTCTAGCTTGGTTCTAAGGAAGTTACTACATTCTTTACATGAAACATGATCAGACGTATCAATAACCCTGAAGTCCCTTTTGTGTTAAAGTTACTTCTGATTAAATATATTCAGGGGACATCCAAATTTGTGGACGTCTTCCCTTCAAATTGAGAATATTCTTCAACATCTATCTGGTATACACAGTGATTTGCATGTTACGCCTCAAACACAGGTAGATATAATTCATCAAGACTTCTATTCCAAAAGCACATTTTATTATTAATATTGATTTAGTGCATGTTCTGTGCCTTGTAATCAAAGCAAAGTAATAAAGGCTTGGCTTCAAGCTCTTTGGTGTATATTTTTACCAGTCTAGCCAGCAAAGCTAAAAATTACATTAATAAACATTTGTCATATCTTATTCCTTTTTCCCCTCTTTTTTAAAAATTGTATCTACCTTCCTCAGGTTTTACTTTCTGAGTCATTTCTAAGAACAAGGGATCGGGGGAGAAACAGGGTAGCAAGTATTTGGATTAAAATTACCTCTCTGAACAGAGCTATACTAAAATTTTTGTGGGCCCTAGGCACTTTAGCCTTTGTGGACCTCTTTCTCCATAAAATAATATTAAAAATTGTATTTTACGACAGTGTTGGTATAAAGATTAACATCCAAACCCAAAACCAAACCCATTGCCATCAAGTCAATTCTGCTCATAGTGACCCTATAGGACAAACTGGAACTGCCCCATAGGGCAGTTCTTTTGGTTAGCAGCCTAGCTCTTAACCACTGAGTCACCAGGGTGCCAAAGACTAACATAATGATTATTATTATACTATTCTTTTTCTTCTGCTTTGAAAAAATTAAGACAAAAACATTTTTGTGGGTCCCTACAAATATTACAGGCTCTAGACACTGTGCCTACTGTGCCTAATGGATAAATTGGCCCTGCTACAGAGAAGATAGAATGATGATAGCCTTGGATGAAAGACAGGGAAGTAGCCAAGGAAATGCAGAGGAAGTCACTATGAGCCTAAGAGAGCACAGGGGAACGGGAACTGATCAAGGCAGCTGAGAAACAATTGACAGAGATCAATAGGTCAGGGCGGTTTGAAGAGATGAGCTAGTATGCGTTCTGCAATATTATAATCGGGTTACAGAGAATCTTACGGAGTTTACTGATGAATAAAGTGATACTAGTCATCAGTATTTGTAACTAAAAAAAATAAATAAATAAGGAACTGGTGGATTTAAGACTGAATAAACTTCAGACAAAGGATTTAAAATAAGCTGTGGAAGGTGGGGTGAAGTTTATAGAGGAAGAAGAAGTATTTATCAGTAACCATCCTCACAATCATTGCTATGTTTGAGCCCAATGTTGCAGCCACTATGTCAATCCATCTCATTGAGGGTCTTCCTCCTTTTCATTGACCCTCTACCCTATTAAGCATGATGTCCTTCTCCAGGGAGTGGTCCTTCCTACTAACGTGTTCAAAGTACATAAGATGAAGTCTCACCAGCCTCACTTCCAAGGAAATTGTTTAGGTATTAAAATAATAAAACTTTACGCTAAATGGATGCAAGTACGCTACCAAGCACTTCACATATTTTATCCCAGTGTTCCCTCATATCAGTCCTATGAGGCACATACCATTATTAGCCCCTTTAGTTGGACTGCCCGGTGCATGATGGGTACTTAGCGCATCACTAAATGTTAGCTGAACCATACACTGACTAGATAGGGGAAAAGATAGAGAATATGGTGTCTAAAGGCTAGGAGGAGGTAGGAATGGAGTGGGGTATACACTTAAGGAACACAGCTGAGTTTCAGGAGTGAGATAAACCTTAATAGTGTGTTCTCTGGGCAAGCCATACACCCTCTCTCAGAGCCTCCGTTTCTTCTGTGAAGAGGGAGGAACAGTGTCTACATCATGGGTATGGTAACAATTAAAGAAACATGTGAAAAGGTGCTAGCCCAGGATGTGCACATAAAAGATGCTCAGTACATGTTGTTTCTCTTCTTAGGGAAAGATATGATCTATTACAGGAAGTGAAGAAGAGAGGAAAATAAAATTGAATAGAGTGAAACCAACTAATACACACCCTTAACACCAGGCTAAGGTTATGTACCTTCTCTCAGAGCCTTGGTTTCTTTTATGAAAAAGGAGTAACAGTGCTGATTTTGGTGAGTAGTAGGTGAGGATGATTATGGGTTCCTTCCTCTGCCTGACCATCAGCACATAAACAAACTCATGCTTGAATTGGTGCAGAATTCTGCTTTTCCATCATTGCTGTGGCTACTGACAGGCAGGCAGCTGGCCGTAAAGCCAGAATGGGGTGAAGTCTTCAGGGCAGCAGAGGCAAAGGAGTTCCAAGAAGATGTGTCCCTAGGAAACACAGCTCAGAAAAGCCTTGCCAAGCCAGGAGTCTTTGAATAACAGGAAGTACCTGTGATCCCTGAAGTATTAAAATCAAGCCTTAGAAACAGCTTCATTTCCCAGGGAGGTAAGAAGGAGAAAAAATGAAAAACGTGTTCATCAACAGGAACTTGCACAGTTCAGATACCAATGGGCTGGTACAGAAGGCTTTGGATGCAGCAAATGTCTATGAAAATATTGCCAATTATGTTGGTGAAGCCAATGAAACGGCAGGATTGGCTCTGAACATCACTGACCGAATATATGACGTGAGTATTCCCCTCTTTTAAAGTTCATAAATATGTTGTCTTTCCTAGCTTTTAACTTTTGTATTTTCTAGTGTCCTCTCTTGAGCTTAAAAAGTAAAATACAAACGGCAGAAAGGGTGGGGGAGCTAAAGAAAGACGACTTTACTTATGCCATGAAAATTTCAGTTGTGCAAGCTCTTCAAGATGTGCCATAGTCCAATCAGCAAGAGCCAGTTTTTTGACAGTTTTCTTTAACCAAATTCCATAAAGAAAATAAATTTAAGACTAGTTCCTGCTGATGCTTTATGCCTACATTCAGATTTTTTAACTAAAAAATTGTTTAATGAGTGGCTTCTATGTAACAAGCACATTGGGTGGAGCCAAGGCACTGGTCCAGGTTCACAGAACTTTCCTCAAAAAACATTTATCTTGAAAATGTCAAGGACATTATTTTCTCATGTTCACATATGACCTTAGTTTTGAGCTATGAAAATGAAGCTGTATGAATTTTGCTTGATGTTTAGCAGATAAACTGGGTCATTTAAATCCTAAAACCATGAAAAGCTTTCTTGTGTTGTATTTCTTACTCTTTCCACCCAATTCCTTTATAGGCTGTGAGCGGAATTGATACTCAAATCATTTACCATAAAGATGAAAGCGAAAACCTCCTCAGTCAAGCCAGAGAACTGCAAGCAAAGGCAGATTCTAGTAAATATCTTTGCTTTCCTATCTTCTTAGTAGCATATAGCTACTAATGCACACGCATGCACGTGCACGCGCGCACCCACACCCGTGGCCTTCCACACAGTATTTCTACATATAGAGATTTCAAAATTCTAGGAATAAAGAATAAATGGTATTACAACTGAATATTACAAACCACATTAGTAGTTTCTGTTCAAGGAGCCCTGGTGGTGCAGGGGTTAAGCACTCAGCTGCTAACCGAAAGGTCAGTGTTTGGAACCCACCAGCTGTTCCATGGGAGAAAGATGTGGCAGTTTGCTTCTGTAAAGACTTACAGCCTTGGAAACCCTTTAGGGCAGTTCTACTCTGTCCTGTAGGGTCACTAGGAATCAGAATCAACTTGATGGCAGTGGGTTTGCTTTGGTTTGGTGTTAGTTTCTGTTCAGAGTCAAGACATTAAAAAAAGCAAATATTCGATATTTTTAAATAAATTGTGGTTCAAAAAAACTTCCATGTAATAAAACATCAAAGCATATAAACATATGGAAACATATAATTCAACAGATGGTGGATATTTTTGCTAATCAAATAGGCTGATTAGTAAAAATTTACCATGAATACTAATTTTCAAGGAGATAATGCTATAAAATATACTTAACACTAAAACTGTTGATAGTGGTGGTGGTTGTTGTCAATAAGTCAATTCAGACTTATGAGTTCATGTCTGCAGAGTAGAGTTTCAAGGCCATGACCTTTGGGAACTACATTGCACATAATTTAGTCTTTCTTAGATAATTGGGAATGTCTTTCAAATTTTCACCTTAAAGAGATATGCCATCACTATGAACGTCAGTTAGAATGATAGGGTACCATAGAACTGTCTGGTTATTTGCATTTTCTTGTAGTTTATTTCTATATAGTTTACAGTATTTAGAATAAGCTTAATGATCATATGGAAAGAAGCATTTCCAAAGGCTAGTGTTTGCATTTGCTAAAGCAAGCACATCTGAGAGAGTGGGAGAGGGAAGGGAACAAAAAAAAAGCAGAATTATTTTAGTCAATTTTAAATCTTGTGAATTACTCTTAAAAACAATTGAGTTGATTAAGAATTTCACTAAACTTTACTAATCTCTGAGGTTTTAAATTCAATTCCTAAGGATATTTGAGCATTGGCTAATGAGAATGGAAATTTATTATCTAGCTAACTTCTAACTACCACCTGAAAACAAAGGCCCAGGTTGAAAGTGAAAACGTCACAGAATCGTATTAAAGCAATTAATGTCATGTCTGAACTTGCATTTTTTACAAGAGCCACTACACATGAAAAATAAATGTACTTTGCTTTTCATATGTAGAATACTTAACTATTTAATCACTGGAAAGCAATTATCACTTTACGTTTCTGGATTATAAAAGGCAATCACAAAGCTATTAAATTTCTTTAATCTAATTAATTTATTATGTAACTCTAATTAGTTTATTATATAAGTCTAATCCTAAAGGTAGTCTTTAGAAAAAGAATTAGAATTTTAACTGTAAATAATTAGAATAGTAATAGCAAAATATATTTAAATAAACGTCCCCTTATCCATGTATTGCTTTTGTTCCTTGTGTTGTGAAGACCATAATATGTGCATTTCATGATGGAATGGCTTAAATATTTTATTCGCTTTGATAATTTGCAATATATTTTCTCAGCCCTGTCATTATTGAGTTATTAAACCTCATGAAGGCATCTTTTCTATTCTGGGAATGACATCTCTTCAAAGTTTCACAGTTTATGTCCAGATAAATCTCTATGCATCAGCCTCTTTGAATACTTTGCAAACCTGGTCACCTATCTCATAACCTTGTTTGGTTAAATCCCTTGATACATTTACTTGCAAAACGACTGTGTGGCTCAGAAATTTATAGGACTGCTTCCTATACTACACGTTTAGATAACACGTGTTTGTGATATAAATTCAGGTTTTCAAATTGATCTGTATTCATCTACCGAATTACATTATAATATCAGACTACCTATTTTTCATTTCCAAGTGATTTTCAATGATCAGTAATCTTCGTTTCCCAGCTTTCCTTGTCTTCGTGATTTATATCAAATAGTTAAAAATCCACAATAAACTCAGAAATCTTCTATTTAAAAGAAATTGCTAGTAAATCCTTTTGTAAAATGAGAAGTGTTTATGCAAGGCAGTAAGTTCCAAACCGGACATGTTTTTTTTATGAAACATTTCTTCGTATAAACATCTAGTCCAAAATAGATTTTCCTACTCCTATTTTTTCAAGAATGCCAAATATAGAGTCAAATATGTTCTTTCTCAGTATATTAGTCAGTGCCTTCTGCAGTCAGAAGACCCAGAAAGAAAGGCTGAAAGATCGTAGCATCACAGTATTCAAACATTGAAACTGAAAAGAGAGGGAGAGAGGCTGCAATGCAACTAACTACAAATTATGTTTAAATCCCCCCTTGCATTCTGAGAAATGTTCCCCACTATCCATAGTAAATAAGAAATAAGTAATTGTACCTGGTTACACTGTACGTGGTGACAGCGTCAACTAGACACCAACCATATGTATACATATTTATGGGAAAAAAAACAACTGAACAATGACCCAAGCACCCAGTGGCCTATCTACAGAAAATAGCACCTGTGGCAATTAGTTTTAAATTGCCGAATGATCTTTTGCAGCTGGCGGTAGAAACTGCGATGGCCAATAGAAACTGCTCATTAGTGCCCCTCGTCAAGCAGCACCCAGGGCACAGCATGCACCCTACCTGTCATACCTTAGTTACACCTCTGCTAAACACTCAAGAGGAACTGCACCATAAAAACCAAAAAACCAAACCCATTGCCGTCCAGTCAATTACGACTCATAGTGACCCCATAGGACAGGGCAGAACTGCCATAGGGTTTCCAAGGAGCACCTGGTAGATTCAAACTGCTGACCTTTTGGTTAGCAGCCAAACTCTTAACCAGTATGCCACCAGGGTTTCCACAAAGTGTGCCATAGGAGAGTGTATATTTACAAGTCCATTGGACAGAAAGAGGAGAGTATAATGAGAAGTGAAGAAACTATCTTGGTGTCTGTCAAGAAGCATAGGTTTCCTGATGCTTTGGAAGTAAACAAAGCACAAACCGAAACGAAGAATTATTGGGAAGGTTGATCTTTCTGTTCAGATAATAAGATAATACATCACGACATGTTTAGATTTGCTCAAAGATAACCCCAGTTTAAGTACTGTGCCACAAGCATACATTCAATAATAATTTTTGTACAAAAAACACAATTTATCAAAACCAATGCAAAAAGTAATAGATAATCTGAATAGTCCTGTATACATACACACATACACATCTGTGCAATAAGTTTAATAAGTAATTAAACCCTGCCCACAACGAAATCTCAAGCCTCAGATGACTTCACCAGTTAATTCTTCCAAACATGTAAAAAAGAAATAGCAGCACTCTTAGAAAAACATTTCCAGAAATTAGAAAACGAATAGTCTCCAACTTGTTCTATGAAGCTATCAAAACTTATATATCAAAACCTGATAAGCACATTATAAAAACATGAAAATTATAAGCCAAATTATCTCATAAACCGAGATGCAAAAATCTTAATAGAGGTACTAGCACATCAAATATAGCATACATAGAAATGACAATACATCATGGCTAAATTGAGTTTATTCCAGGATTTCAAGGATAGTTTAACATTTAAAAAATCAATTGTAATTCACCACATTTACAGAATAAAGGAGAAAAGTCATATGATCATTTCACTAGATGCCAGAAAATCACTTAACAAAATTCAATACCCATTCATGATTTAAAAAAAAAAAAAAAAACTCTTAGCAAACTAGCAACAGAAGGAAACTTCCAAATTTCTGACAAAAAGTAGTAAAATAGTATTCAGCAAACATATTAGTACTGAAGTATTGAAAGCTTTCCCGTTAAGATTAGAAACAAGACAAGAATGTTCCCCATTACAAATTCAATGTGTAAAACTCCAGCTTAATTCTATATATAGCAATTAGAAAATTAACTTTTTAAAATATCATTTATAATAGCATCAAAAGTAACAAAAGCTACAATAAAATTTAAAAAACTTTTTTAAAGTAAAAAATACTTAGGCACAAATCTGATGAAATATGTTAAGATTTTTACATGTAAAACTGTAATATATTACTGAAAGAAATTTAAGAAGAGCTAAATAAATGAAGATCTAAAAGAGAATTTAGATCTAAAGATCTAAATAAATACCACATTCATTGAGCAGAAGACTCAACTTTGTAGAAATGACAATTCTACCAAATCAATTTATAGATTCAATGCAACACCAATTAAAATACCAGAAGTGTGTGTGTGTGTGTGTGTGTGTGTGTGTGTGTGTATTTGACAGGATGATTCTAGAATTTCTATGGAAATGGAAAAAAAAAGGCCAAGGATGGTCAAAACAACTTTGAAGAACTAAAAACAAAGCTGGGAGATTTAAACTACCAGGCATCAAGATTTATTATTAATAGAAATTAAGACAGAGATACAAGAGATATAAAAGATAGACAGTACCATTTCTTTCGAATAAAGTTCAAAAAACAGACACAACTAACGGATGTCCATCTGTTGTGCCTCAAACAGCTTCCAGTATTAGTCATAGGGACCTGAGGCAAGCTAGAGGTATGCTAATAATGTTCTGTTTTCTTGACCTGGGTGCTGATTATATTCTGTGTTCACTTTGTGAAAATTCACAAGATACACTTAGAACTTATAGAAAAGT